CATACAGTAGGTTCCCAGTCTCAGCAAGGTTAACACAATGCTGCCATCTGCAGGAACGGAATGGCAATGCAGTTAAGAAACAATTCTTTAAATCTAGGACACTTCTTCAGACACTATTCAAATATAAAAAATCTGGCAGTATACTACAGTTTTTCAAGATAATGATTACACTGCAGTGGTTAGAATGTTGCATTTGAATAGTGGAAGACTATATTTGAATTCCTGCTTAGTCATGAAAGGGCACAAAGCTACAGTAAGTGTAACTCTCAAAACATCCCATAGAGCAGGGGTCCCCAACTCTTGGTTTGTGGACTGGCACTTGTCTTCGGAATGCCAGAAACTGGGCCGTGCAAACAAGCAAAGCTCCATCTGTGGGATGCAGGCAGAACCTGAACCTAGACCCACGCCCTCTTTGGTCTGCAGAAAAACCTCTCTTCACGGAACCAATCCCTGGTTGGGGGCCACTGCCATAGAGTTTATCAAGGCTTTTTTTTATTTAAAAAATAAAAGTAAAAATAAATAAAAATAAAAAATAAAGAACTGAAATTGTATTTTCCATCTTGTTGCTGATGGTTGGCAATTGGTATGTATTTATGATGATTACAATGTCAAGGGGTCCTGCATTCAACTTTTGCAAACTTCTGACAAGCAAAGTCAATGGGGAAGCCAGATTCACTTAACAACCATGTTACTATCTTAACAACAATAGTGATTCACTTAACAATTGTTGCAAGAAAGATAAAAAATGGGGCAAAACTCACTTAATAACTGTCTTGCTTAGCAACAGAAATTTCGGGTTCAGTTGTGGTTGTAAACTGAGAACCACCTGTAATTGTATAAATGGACTGACATCAGTAAAGTCTCACATGTACATATATTCTTTTTTCTACCAGACAGCTCTGCAATTTTGCTGTGGCTTCAGGGTAGAGATAATGTTCAGACAGAGTATCATAGATCTGCTGGTGCATGGAACAGAAATTATAAATGATACTGACAATTTCCCCCTCTTTCTTCCTGCTTTCATCTTTGGGCAACCTTCCCTTGATGGCAGGCATGCTGCCTGATCCGAAGAATGTGCATATCGTAGTCAGCTGGATGATAGCCCAGAGTGTAACTGCAGTGGCAGGTCTGACATCGTACCCTTTTGACACCGTCCGACGTAGAATGATGATGCAGTCTGGTAGGAAAGGAGGTAAGAAAATAACCAATTCCCTCATCTCTCAGCACTTTCGCTTTTCAGACAGTAAAACTGGACTTGATATGACCCAGTTCTGATGGCTGCCGAACCCCGTTCCCCTGGTTATATCACTATATTTTGGGCGTTCAGCACCTGGCCCACATTTATGGCCATTTAGTGTCCCTTGATCACATGAGCAGGGGCTGCCACAAAGAGGGAGCCAAGCTATTCTCGAAAGCACAAGAAGGCAGGACAAGAAGCAATGAATGGAAACTAATCAAGGGGAGAAGCAACCTAGAACTAAGGAGAGGTTTCCTGACAGAACAATCAGTGGAACAACTTACCTCCAGAAATTGTGAATCTCCAACACTGGAAGTTTTTAAGAAGAGATTGAACAAATTTTGTCTGAAATGGTATAGGGCTTCCTGCCTTACAAGGGTTGGACTAGAAGACCTCCAAGGTCCCTTCCAACTCTGTTATGTTAGTCTGTGACATTTTTGTTGAAAATCAGCATTTACTTCTGTTTTTTTGGCAAAAATGCCACATAGCGAACAGGACAGCTGGGGCTTGATTTAGCTTCCCAGCTACCTTTAGGAGCATATAGTTGCCAATTTAATGCTAAGAAAGCTTCAGTTTAATTTCTGCTTTTTTATTTGGAATATATTTAGCAGTGAACACAAACATTATTGCAGAAATACAATTTGCCAAATTTGAAAAATGTTATATTTATTTGCATTTGTTCTGTTACAATATTGCCTTCAGATCAATTCATTTCTTAAACACACAGAGATGAAATTCTCTCTTGAGCTTCAAGGTTAAGAGAAAAAATGCAATTTTATTTTATAAACTTTTGAAGAAAGAACTAGAGAACAACTTTCCAATTATGCTTTATTTGTTGGAATTAGAGGAATGATTGTGTTATACTGATCTATTTCTCTTTCCAATGATTTACCTGAATATGTTTACTTCCACAGCTGACATCATGTACAAGGGTACAATTGACTGCTGGAAGAAGATTGCTAAAGATGAAGGAGGCAAGGCTTTCTTCAAAGGTGCCTGGTCCAATGTGCTAAGAGGCATGGGAGGTGCTTTTGTGTTAGTCTTGTATGATGAGATCAAGAAATATGTCTAAGCAAGTCAAACTACTTGCCTCTTACGTTCTGTTTAATTACATATTTACACGTGAGTTAAAAGACAACTAAATATTTCCTACGGAAACAGAGGTGACTACTGTGGGTCAAATCCAGTTGAGAGGTCAAATTGTGGAACTATAAGATTGCTTGGTGATGGTTCATAACATAAGTCAAAGTTTTTTGTATGGAAAGTTGAAGAGGTCTTTGTATATATACATTTATTTGACAAATATCAATAATATATTCCTATGAATAAAAATATTTCTCGAGGTACGTTAATAACTAAAGAACTGGAAAAGTGAATTTAATAAATATTATTAATTAAAACTTTTTTTTCTGAATGACAAAGCCACTGCAGAAGTTCTTTCAAGATTGTAGCTTCCAGCTGCTAGTGAAGAATGTTTTCAGAGATGAGTGTGTGTGTGCAAATGTGTGGTGTTAGGGTAGAAGAGAGGGGGTGGGGGGTGGCAGAGAACAGGGTTCTCTTTCTCACTCTAAGCTAGCAACAAGATGTACAACTAAGGGTATTCTGACTCATATAAGAAACAACAGGTAAAAGCTGTGCAGCAAATAATAGCAAACCACAAGAAATGCTGTTCTTCATTTCTCCTAATTTTATCTTTAATCACTTTGTTCGCACTTTGGAAAAAATACTTATGTCAAATGTATCTCCTTTTTGTCATGTTAGGATTGCAATGCTCATGCACATTCTCAGAGGTGTCATAGTCTGGATGAGAAAATCTTATTTCCTCCCCCCCCCCACAGGCCTTAGTATCTCTAAAATACTGAATAGTAATTACAATAATGACCATACTTTTTAACTTTGGGATCATATCCTCCTGGTGGATGTTAAAAGGAAGTTTGCTGCTGAATGTGTACAGGTAGTCCTCGACTTGCAACAGTTCATTTAGTGACTGTTCAAAGTTAGAACAGCAAAGAAAAAAAGTGACGCATGACCATTTCCCACACTTAATGACCGTTGTAGCATCCCCATGGTCATGTGATCAAAATCCAAATGCTTGGCAGTTAATTCATATTTATTATGGTTGAAATATCCCGGTGTCGTGATCACCTGTGACTCTCTGACAAGCAAAGTCAATGGGGAAGCCTGATTCACTTAACAACCATGTTACTAACTTAACAACAGCAGTGATTCACTTAACAACTGTGGCAAGAAAGCTCATAAAATGGAGAAAGGTTGGGTTCAATTGTGTTTGTAAGTCGAGGACTACCTGTATAGTCAGATACAGCTCACCTTTTATTCAATTTACTATTATATGATCATCAATATATGGTTAACAGCATCCTTTTTATTTTCTTTGTTAATTGTTGGAAAGAGCGAAAGCAGCTTGAGCTCCTGGAACATTCAGTGACAGTAGTCTTGTTTGAAATTTATGCCTTGACAGATTTTGTCTCAGAATAACATACCGCATGCATTCAAAACTGAGGATGCATTGTTCCCATGGGACTGAAATTAGGTAAAGTTGTCATCACTTCAGTGCTCCTTACACTTCCCAGAAACCCAGAGGTTGCATGATACATCCAATCAGCCAGCAACAAGGCCTGACAGGTGACCAGTGATTGGCTGCTTTGAAACTGAGGGCAAAATCTGTCTTTCTTTCTTCATGGCAGTGGGTGGTGAGGGGAGGATAAGAAAGTGACTCAGATGCCTGCTGGTGAGGTAGAGCTGGCTAGGGAGTGCCAGTGATCAATGGGTGAGCCCTCTTCCTTCCTGGAGGAAAGGGGCTCTTGGGGACATGCAGGGTTGGGGAGTGAGGGTAATTTTCCTTGCATTCTGTGGCTCCCATTGTTTCCCCCACCCCCACCCCCACCCCCAGCAAAGTGGCATGCAATTCAGCCGGTGAGGAGGAGGCTGCTTCATCAGGGCTCTGCTGAGGGTCATGAGGGGAGAGGTAATGGCACCAGCCTATATTATATGTGAAAAGGATGACCCAGTGAGGCATGGATTGCCTACTACTGTCAGCCTTTGTGATGGAATGTGTATCTGGAGAAGCAGTGGGGGAAAGTTTTGGCAATACAGAGTTTTCCCAGAGAAGTCCGGATTAAGACTGAGCAATCCTGAGCTGGATTGGGAGAGGGGGGAGGTTTAGGGTAGCTACGTCTAGAATCTCTCAGGATATATCTAGTAGGTTAGAAGGTGATAGCTTGAGTTTGGCAAGATTCTGCCCATTAGGTGTAAGCAAATAAAGGACTGAACCCAATTGGACTTCACTGTGTCATCTCTGGCCTTGGGTCTGACAGCCCATCCAGGTAAACCAGATACAAAATATAACTAGATGAGTGAATCTTTCATGTCTAAAGGTACAAGTTTATTTTCTGATATTTTTTGCTCCTTTCCCCCCATTACAATCTTCTTCAACCTTATGGACTATATCTAATGAGTTTCTTGAAATAGATACCATTTTTTTGAATCATAATTGGAGGCATTCTAGGAATAAACTTCATGACATCAGTGTGTGAGAGAACTGAAATAGAGAAAGTCAATGTGCAAAAACAAGTATTAATCTCCTAATTAACGTATTTGAAAACTTTTGTCTTCCTCTAGAAATGCCTATTGTTTACACTGAGTTGCAGTATCCTTCACAGTTGGGAGCTGAATAGATGTTAAATTTGATTGCATTTTCAGTTAAAAAACACAAAACAATTGTTCATGCATTTAGTACTTCCCATTTATGCCATTCATTGCAGAAGAGTGAGAATTTTTAGAAGTTATTCAGTCCTATCTAAAATCTTTTAGAAGCTGTATATGGTTCTGGAGTTGTGTACCTTACTTAGTAGTAGTTCACTGATAAAACACATATGGGCATATAAAATGTATTACATCCATTTCCTGATTTTTCTGATGACTAGAATATTTACTAGATATAAATTCCTTATGTTATGAGGAGGTTGTTTTTCCACAAGTATTTAAAATATAAAGCTGGATAATACTGCAGATAAAACGCTAAAATGAACTAGTACCTTATTTATGGGTGCAAATACCATAGCACCTTTTGAAAAAAAACATCTGTTTGCAGAAGTGGTGTTTGAAATCATTAGGAAATATACTGAAATGAAAAGCATGCTGTGGGAAATGAATGGCTTCTAGATATTGTTGCATTCTCCCTTTATATTGTTCCTATTTATAAAGAAAATCAGGCTTATCTCCATAGTTTTGCTTTTGTATTACTTCAGTACTTAATTAATTGTAATTGCACTGTCTTGGTGCCTCTTCATGTAAAACTTATGTTCATTAAAATGCAAATGTTTTGTTCATGTATGTAATTTATATACAGACATGAATTTACTGATATATTCTACAGATAATTATGGACGGATAATTGAGATATCAACCTAGCCTATTACAACCTAGAAATATTAAGATAAATGCATATGTAATTCACACAAGAAATTAACTAGAAATTATTTCTTAAATCAATGAATGATGGGGAATCCAAATAATATTCTGGAGCAGAAAACTATTACAAATATAATTAAAAGCAGAATGTGATTTTAAAAACCTAGTTACAATATTTGGCTCAAATTACAGGAAAAAATGCACACTGAAGTGGTTCAATCAAATATTTTACTTAATTTTTAAAGGACAGATGTACAATTTTCATATCTTCATAACTAATCACACTTTGTAGTTTTTGTCAAAGAAAAATATGCTTATGGAAAGATTCCAAAGTGCCAAGATTTAAGAAGTACACCCACAAGATTTCTGTTCATTTTTACTTCAAGAAACAAAATTTTAGAGAATTTAATAAATATAATTGTGCAAATACATCACAGACCAAAACTGTCAACACTAATATTAGAGTACAAGATCTTTAGAGATATACTTTTTACCTTTATTTAGATATCTACTGCTTATCTAAAATCTATATTTTTAAAATTAAACTAAAATTGATCTGAAAAGATTCAGTTTTTGTTTTCCATGTTGTAACTGACAGCACCAAGGCCAAGTTGTATGTTATATGTTCTCTCCATCTAATATTTCTATTAGATCTTGTAAATTATGAAATTAAAAGTTTGCAATAACAAAGTTACATTAAAATTCATGGTAATTCAAAATTTAAGACTAAACAACTTTTCAAAACCAAATTTCATTTGACTTTGAGAAAATAAGGTTTGCAATATTATCACTTTTTAATACAAGTATTGTTTTAAGAAATACTGACTATAAAGATACTGTCCAACACATACTAGAAAGATGAGGAAAAAAAGTCAAGATTGTATCCATTTATAGTTAATACTACTTTCCAGTATCCTTTAATTATTCAATATTACAATAGTCCTGCACAGAATTACAGTAATCCCCAAAACATCAGAGTTTAGAATTCTGATAGCGAAGTGCAAATTATTTATAACCAGGCGCCATGAATGTTACTGGGGTTCAACTGCTGCAGTGCACCATTTATCAAAAACTGGTTTTTCACTCCTTCGATTTATAGTACTGGATGCACTATGACTGGAAGTTCGGGATGTACCTCCTGTCAAAATTGTACACAAAAGAGATCATATAGAGTTTTAAGTAAACAATATAAACTTAAGCAACCTTTAAATAAACAGTATACACTTTAAACCATGTAGTAGGATCAGAAATGCTCCCTGGATTTGAACAACAGGTGGGCTGCTGCTTATGAAAAAGGTAGCCTTGTTCAGTGGTTACTGCTGCTACTGGAGATATAGTCACTCATTTATTCTGGGCTCAGGAGATCAGCATGCATGTAGTATAGAGGGCTTGGCAATATGTAGGAGCAACTCACTTTGGGCGAGTGCTAATTGTACTGTACAATTTTTAGATTCAATCCTTAGGGTACATGATATTGTCATCAAAATGACCTCGGTGAACATGTAGATATTAAACACAGTATAAATACTAGAAAAAGTACAAAAGGAGATATACATAATTTCCTTGCATAGTGAATAGAAATTGAGGCACAGAAGATGATCAGATTTGATTTCATTACTTAAATAGTAGAAATAAAGGCCAGTGAGGGTTTTTTTCACACTTCAATCAAACTGAACTTAGCAGATGAAGATTCTGGAATGACTTACTAGATGGACTATGATGATTCAAGGCAGACTTTCCTCGCTTCGGAGTTCCAGCAGTGCGAAAGTAGCCCATCTGCCGCTGATAGTCTGTGAGCTGTTCTGAGCGCTTCATGCCAGTTGTTGGTTTCACTGCTTCAAGTCTTTTCAAAAAAGCCTTTAATAACACACACATACACACAACCCTTGATTAACAGTGCATTCCTTGATACATTATGATCTGAGATACCAGAATCTCTTAACCAAAACCAGTCCTCCACAATAACTGATGTCTTGGATTACAATTCCTTTAATTTCTCACTAGAATTATAACATTGTAGTTCAACATACCTGGAGTACACTAATTTGAAAATTATTAGGAAGCACTCTGTTTATGTAAGAATGGAGAAACAACAGGGCAGCTGAGAACATTCTCATTTGGTGGCTTTGCCTTTGTTCATCATCTATATAAACATTTATATAAAAGGCAAAACCTACAAACTATAAAGGGATGCCATAATGGCCTGGGACCAGAGCTTTTCATATCGAAGTAGTCCAACAACCGTATCATACTGACTATGGAGTGTGAGCGAGGCCAAACAAGCCTCACTGGAGATGAATTTCCATAGGAAATCACAGATGAGAGAGTCCCCTTGCTCTCGTGGTCATCTAATTTCTTAGCACAGCAGCAGAAAAAGCCAAAGATGTTCTAAGGGCTTGTGAATTTTACTTTATAAAGCTGTTATATTCTATGCTAGTTACAGGCAACTAGTTTGCACTGTTATTTGGAATAAATATTTGTTTACAAACAACTTGCTTGTTTACAAATATTTCCTTTTCTGTGTTCTAGCACTCCATTCTGTGATTTGAAGAAATGGAAACAGAAAGATTGTTGTGTATGGAGCAGGAATCTTGTGCATATCCTAGGTTATTATGTCAGACTTTGATTGTTCAAACCTAATCAGTCCTCCAACCACTTTCTCAGGAATCCAAAATGCAGACTGTTAACACGTACTATAATTATTCCATTTCAAAAGAATGGAACAAGAGAAAATGTGCAGAAAGAAGTGATCTGAGAGGTTTCTTGGCGTGTTCTCTATGAGTATGTGCATTTTTGGAATACCATATTAAAAAGGGACTAAATGTTGTGGCTTTTGATTGCAGCCTAAAATTCTGAATATTTTAGAAAGAGTATACACCACTAAAAATCAGAGCCAGGCAGCCAATTTCATCTGGGTAAATCTATGTTACATTACAGATCCAATAGAATTTTTTTTCTTCATGCAAAATTACATCATGAATATTTGACCAGTTCTAGATAAAGAGCTATTACACAGAAGACGAGTTTTCATTTGCCTCAAGACCTGTTGCTATGGTTACTACAATGGTTCAGTGGTAGTGGAATGAACAGCTACAGAAATTGAAATTGACTGTTTGGCTATGTTTTCAATTATTTCTACTTTATATTAAGTTGTGGGCTATAGTTGTGTGTTAGTGAAAACATCATCTGTGTTTGTTGATCAATGGCTAAAATAAAATGATGGAGTGACTTAATATCATCAATCAGTTTTTTTCTTGCTTGTTACTGAGATCACTGAATTCCTTTCTGGATAATTTTCTTACATCTAAGGTAGATGCTCAATTGTGAAAAGAATGTCATTTTAGGTATACGTACACACACACACACACACACACAGGATAGACATAGATACATATATGTACACATGTACACACAAATGCATATCAAGATACTTCAACAACTTTTTTGCATAGTTCAAAGATATGCAAATACTATTCCAATGAAGCTCAAACATTTATTCTTTATACAGTACTATAGAAAAAACAAAAGAGGGAGAAAACTGGTTTAAAGCCACGTTTCATAACCCAGCACGGAGTTAAACTTGCTTAAATTTAAGTGAAATTAGTGCAGGTAATGAGAGCCAGTTTGGTATAATGGCTAAGGCATTTGACTAGAAACTAGGAGACTGTGAGTTCTAGTCCCACCTTAGAAACAAAGCCAACTGGGTGACCTTGGACTAATCACATTTTCTCAGTCCTACAAAGGAGCCTGTGGCAAATCACTTTTGAAAAGCTTTGCCAAGGAAACTGCAGGGACTTATCTAGACAACCTCCAAGATTTGGACACAATTGAGCAGAAAAAAGAAAATGCAGGTAAATAATTGTACTGGGCAAGAAACTGAATAGGAAACAAGCATATTTGATGGGTTAAAAGAATTTTTCTGTCAACTGCATTAATTTTAAATAAAGAGCAAAACAAAATAGTCGTATATGACAACCTATAACCAAGTACCATCAGTTGAGGAACACGGGAAATCTCATTGTGCTGATAAAATTTGAGATAAGCAGGCATCTTCAGGTTTGGGTACTATCTCTAGTAATCCTGAAGTTTATTATGACAGTGGTATTTGTGGTGCCTCCATATATTTTTATCCATATTTGGATACTTTCAGATAATGGATTTTTATCTCTCCCACCCACAGCAAGCACTTATAAATAGGCATCCAGCTGATAGATTTTCTTCCACTGCTAGTACCACTGAATTACAGGACAGATTTGTGATTTAATAAGATTGTACTCACTTTTCAGAGAACAAAACAATGATGTGTTAAGTCATAGTTTGCAAGCCCATGGTTTATACAATGCAATACAATTTGCTAGATGCTCATCTATCATAAGCCTCAAACTTGTGTGGATAGACTTGCCTAACATACTAAGTCGAAGAAGTCTAGTTTTTAATTAATATTGTTAAATCCAGAACTTCAACTAACCAGATTCTCTCTGTCGATCCTCTGCTGTTCCCTCTGCCTGTTGATGGCACTGTGGTACATTTTAGGTGCTGAGCCTGACGGTTTTTTCACTGAAGCACTTTTGTTTCTAGGTTTTGCAGAATGCTTTGTCAATTCTTTTAAGAGCCTTTGGTTTTCCCGATCAATTTGTCGTACTTCCTCATTTGTGAATGAGTAGTTTTTCCTTGATCCTAGAGAAGACTGATTCAAAGCCAGTTCTTGTTGATCCTTTTTCTCCAAGTTCAGAAAAGCTTTGGACACAAGTACATATTTAAGAAAACAAGTAGCATGACTAGGCTTTTAAAAGATCATTTCAAAACTATAAAACCTATTTTCAGATTTAGCCACACAAACTATCTTTCAAATAAGGACTTTTGAGGAGCTGGCCCCCAATTCTGAAGTTGGTAACAGAAGCTTATTTATTATGTTACAAAACCCTCTTAAACGGCCTTTCTCAGGTTTATAATCACCAAATGTGCCAGACAATACCTCCTATAATTTCTAGAGCATGACATTTGTGGAAATTACAGGACATAAATTGCAAATATATTTGAAGGATTCAAGATAAAAAGGTCCAAGCATACAATATTTCTGCAGTCGTGATAAAATGGAACCCTATATAAACAAGGCAGTGCCATTTCTTTCCCATAATTACAGAGCTCAAGCATAATGCACCACAATTTTTGCTTCCAGAAGAAACACACTGCGGTATAAACATTCCCTGCAATCACCACAGTATACATTATAAGGCAGAGTCAAAATGAAGCTTTTTACAAAAAGAATTAATTCATCTGATCATTCTTAAATTTGATTTGGAAATAGGCAATGTGAACAGCAGCCCCAATTAGAAATATAAAGTGCATTTGTAAATAGAGCTGAATATTTATCTTACTCAGTACTAAATCAAATTATTCATATGCTATTATCCATCCCTCTTTAGCAGATTATCGGTCAACAAGGAGAACTAAAGTAGGTGCTGACTTACATTCTCACAATTTTCAGTATGGAATGGTGAGCAGGAGATGGACTTTCCCAACATTCTGATTGCTGAAGTTTCAGGTCTACTTTTTGCATATCTAAATAAGTGTCAGGTATGCAGTCACACTTAAATAGTTTCACATACGAAAAGAATCAGTTCATAACAGTAAGTTGTGCACAATCTTAAAATTGCCATCTATTTTTCTTTTTGAAGATTGTGACATTTCATATTTTACTTCTAGAAATGTTAGAGATTTGAAACTTGTTGAACATGTCTTGCCTATTTTAATCTATAATCTAAGTAAATTCCTCACTCCTTTTCGGATCATTAATTGATCTGCTGTTGATATACCATAGTTAAAAAAGCCTTTGGCAGTGATATTTAATCTCTTTCAAGTCACTACTCTACTATCAAATTTATAAATCACTGATTCTGTAACATAGTTTGCAGCAAGGTGGTTACCATCTGTGTGACAGATACTTGGATAGATGACTAAGCTGTAAAATATTTGAAAATAACTTCAATGTCAGAGAGCCTGAAATTGCTGAATGTATTTAATAGAATTATTAAATTGTTGAATTTATTTTCAAAATATCATGTGAAGATGTGGTATGTACAAAAATGTTGCAGAAAGTTAAATGTAACAGTAGGAATTGTTCATAAACAGATCCTTCACCAATCTTAGTTAGAAAACCACCAAGACTTCTAGTTCAGTATACTATATTGCTAAATATATTTAGGAAAGCAGAATTTTTGGAAAAGGAATAGAGAGATAAGAGTAGCATGTGTAGATGGTAGTCAGGATTCAGAAAGAAACATAAAGGATATGCCAATGCACAACAGATAACAGGGAAGAAAGTGAAAGTTAAGGTATATTTTTGCCTTCAGTAATATAGCAAAGGTACATAAAAAGAATGCATATGGAGAACAGCACCATGAGATACATTTTGTAAAATAAGACAGCAGTCAAACCATTGGTTTACAATAGAGATACATCCCTTTTAACTGAATGCCATTGAAAGCAAGGGGTTTGCAAATACTTGTAGTAATTATATCAAAGACAAGTTCCAAGAACTAATATTTCCAAGGAATATAGAATATATAAAGTTTCCAAAACAAATAAATAGTTCTCTCCACATTTATGTGGAGCTCCATATTATGCAAAATTAAACACTACTGGTATCAGTGAAACTATTTTAGATAATCATTTTCGAAATTTGAGAATGTAGTAAATGTTGCAAGACACATAAAATTACAGTACTTTCAAATCAGTGATGTCTGTTAAGAGGTGGCACAATAAAAATAGCTATTCTATACGTATTTATGCCAATTATAAGCCCTTAAATGATATATATCTATAATTTTGCTTTAACAATCATATAAGCAGTATATATCTGCAAACTATATGAATTTGGATTAAATCTGTAACATTTAACATAGGGATATTGATGTAATAATTGGTTATTGTCTGATAAAGATTCAGGGAATTATATAAACAACCAGCAATAAATCCTTACTACTTCACAGGAAAGCTGTTATAAAATCAAAATGTCTTACTCATAATGTTCCAAAAGATAAAGAAGTTAGAGTAAAGAAGTGCATGCGTACAGTCTGAAACAACTCTTCAGAAGAATTTATACCATCTTAATAGAAACTACAATGCCCATGAACACTAAGAACAGATGGGAACGGAAAGGATATTACTCACAGAAGTTGAAAATAATTATCCTATAACATCCCATTTAACGTGGAATAAGGGACCTCCACAATAACGTCTGGGCCAATACAAACAACACAGGGAAAAATGTTGATATTCCTGTACTAGTACAAAATTAGGGATTGATGCTAGAAAGAGATGCTTCTCTGTTATTATCCACCATTGCAGAATATCCTTCTCTGAGAAATTCAGATGTCCTGACCCTGATGCTTTTTGGAAACTTATCAAAAGGGACCTTTTCTGGAGGGCTTTTAATTAATTAGCATAGTCCCACTATAATTGTTAATTGCAACTGGGAAGTTGTTTTATGACCATAATGGAGCCTGCCCATCATGATTATAAGCTGTGATCGTTGTAAAGTGAGTCTCCCACATGATTGACCTGATGTTTCGATTTTTGTCGCAGTCAATAAGTGACTGCCACGATTGTTAAGCAAACTAATGCTTCACTGTGGACAGGTATTGCCAAAAGTAGAAATAAATACCATTTTTTGATAAAAACATTGGACACTCAACTATGGGACACTGCAAATGGCCATTAATGCCAGCAGGTTGCTGAGGGCCTGAAATGTGGTCATGTGACTACAGAGGGGGGCATCAGAACTTTGGAACCAGGTCATAAATATCCTCTGGGGAGATCTGTGTAACTTCAAATGTTCATTAAATAACCAGTTGTAAGTCAAGGACAACCTGTATATTGTGGGTTTTTTATTTCTGTAAATTGCCGAGAACAGAAGATTGCACAGTCTAAACATTTATTCAGTATACAAATGAGTTTTATCTTGCTTAAACTTTAATAAAGAATCAAAATATGGCAAAACATAAAACATGCTATGCAGTTATGCTTTAGCTATTAGAAGTCAAGCTTTGTGGAACTATTTTTTTCATCAAAACTGTATAGTAGGGCTACAATAAATAGCACAGGAGAATATATTGGGACAACACTTAAAATTTGTGGGTACTACTGTTAAAAATATAATTGTTTGGCACAATGAATAGTGGAGATTCTTTTAGCATAGTTACAACTATCTCACTTCATGTCTTGAAAAAATATTTAATCTCTGCAAATAGCTAGTCAAGTATCAACCATATATCAAACTGCATAGGAAGAAAGAATAGAGCTAATAACACAGTTCAGAGGTACCTTATTATAAAGCAGTGCTACCAAAGCATGCTTACAATAACACAGATAGCAGGATTATAAATATGGACTTGAACTAATCTGTTCATCCTTCTTTCTCCAATATGGCTTTAAAGAAATTGGAAGTTTGCTTTTATGTCTCTAAACTCATAGGGATTATTTTGTATACAGTCTGTGAAACACGGCAGTTTCAAACTAGAAATTATGAAACTGTCTTGTTATAATTAACCATTTAAAATGAACCAAATTAACTGTAATTAATATGAAAAAGAATTTAAAAAAGGAGTGGGACTGTACAGACTGCAGGTACTAAAACAAGCCTCTGCAATCCTCCTGTTTAGTCCATATATTAACATGAATATGGACAGCTTCTGCTACGTGCAAAAAGAACAGATTCTCAAGATTAAATTCTCAAATGGACAGAACCTGGAAATACAATTTAGATAGAACATAGTTTAGACTGCTTGTGCTACCTCCTTCTCACCTTTGTGTCTCAATTCTATATTAAGTAGAAATTACCATAATTAAATTTAAAATACACGCTATAGGCTTCTTATAAACAAATAGTAAATAAAGCCACTTTGGCCTAACGGATAATGATTTCATTAGATATATTTTATGATAAACATCTGGATTCTGAAAAGTTATTTTTTGCTAGCTGAAATCATTTACTGTTTGGTGTTTCTCTTTAAATAGATAACTGATAAATCATGAATTTGTTTCAGCAATTATCTTTAATTAGTGTTTGTGTATGTAAATTGCTATACTATTTAAAATTAGATTTCAGCCATTTTGCTATCATATTGCTATGGCAGCCTCTAATAAGCATAATGAGAATAAATAAATAAATGTTCTAGAGAAGAGAGATTCTAAATGAGAAATAGTCCTGTTGGTGAAATTCATCACTTTCAATATTATCTCCATAAATCTTGTGTATGAGAACTTCAGTTTTAGATAATCGCCAAGCAATTTTGATAGTTGCTGAAAGTGTCAATGCAGTGTGAAAGAGCTTTAAAGCTGAAGAGTTAAGGTGGGACCCAATTTGCCCAACACCCCACCTCTCTAGAGAAGAACCTGTGACCATGTTGAGTATTACTTGAGACTCAGCTCAATTTAGAAATTGTAGAGAATATTTGTAGTTCAGGTTGTAGGTTTAGGCAGAGATTTGTTCTCCAATTTGCTGCTTGGCTTCTGGATGTTTTGTCACCCAACTAGGTAACATCTTCAACAAGATGTTACCTAGTTGGGTAATGAAAAATCCGGGAGCCAAGCAGCAAACTCAGAGGACAAACCTCTGTCTAAACTCAGCTCAGTGCTGGAGCACCATAGCTGTCCACGGGGAAAGTAGCAACAGAACTGTTTTCATTCTGACACTTCATGAGATGTCCAATGGTGGCATCAAACCACCACACTCATCACTTTGGATCTTCCCAAAGAAAGGCCAATGCTTTATGACCTTGACTAAGGTATTTGGCTTGATCAGAAAAAGGAACTTTGGCTATAGAAAACGTAGTGACCAAAAATAATTGTTTTATAATATTAAAATTCTATTTTCATATTGAAATGCAGAGAAACAGCTACATGCTATTAAATATTAAAGAATAACTTACACATCTCAACCCTTCATTGCTTGATGCCTCTCTATATAGAGAATGTCTTCTATATTAGAATGCTTTATCTTTCTGCAATGGATAAATTACCCCAGTCTTGCTCTATCATACAACCCTACAGAGTACAGTTGGAAATACATTAGTATGAGACATAGTAATTCAATTCAAAAAATGTAAGTAAAGGCCCCAAACCCCAGATTAAACACTTCTTTTAAGCATTAAAAATATTCTGACCTTCTCTATAAATAATGCTGGGGACAAAAAAAAAAATCTTATCAAAGACCAACAGGACAACAGGTTATTACCTATCTTTTTTTAAAAAAAAAAAATGGGTGGGTAACTGGGAATACTAAATATAAAAATTCTTCAAGGAAACTGACTCAACCACTCTAATGCCATCTTCATTAAATGGATTCACTCCTTTAATGTGCTGCCCAGTTCCAGATTAGAAAGGAGATAAATGTACTTTCTCTGTGGGTGGATGTTAGCAATTTTTAAGCTGTTATCTAAAGGCATCCCAGGAAGGAGAGCTTCTTTATTAATAATAAAACTGATAAGCTGAATCTGGATGAAAAAAACTTATTTAAGCACTGAACTAGTGAAATAACTTTATTTCAGACAGCCCAGAACATCCCATTTCTTAACCTCAAGAAAAAAAAATCTACAATACATAAACTATAGATTCATAGAGGTCATGTACTGGTGAAGGTCGTTTGATACTTGATACGAGAAAATGTTAACATCATCCAAAACTGGTGTCATAACACCCTAAATTGGGACCAGAATATAGAGGAAAAAAGCAAGTTTATCAATTAATGTAAAATTCCACTGTCAATGAAATGACAAATGTTGCTCTAGATATTAAATAATGCCAATGTATGCAGCCACTGCAGGCTGTTATATTTGATGTTATTTTTTCCCTTTAAGCCATTTCCTGAATTTGCTGGTAATTCCTTTCGCAGGACTATGGCATCTACTACTGAGAACCAAAATAGCTTGTTCCTAAACGCTAATATATAATATCCGGATGAAAAAGACAGAGATGTATATATTTCTATGACTCTGGCAACAAAACAGCTATGGCAATCACAAACAATACTGAAAGGACGGCAATTAGACAATATTCAAATAAGATTGTTTCTGGAAAAATCTTAAACTATATATTTCTTTAAAAAAATCTGACACAGTATCCCATACAAGTATCTTCTTTTACGCTTCCCTTAAAGTTCTAAACACTTTACAGTTTCCCTGTGTTTTTCTCACCTATTTTCTTTCAACACAGAGAGAAACAGATACACAGATAACGTATATGTTTTGGTAACATGAAGAAATCCTGCTTTCAGCTCTTCAACTCTTGAAACATTTGACTGCCAGCCTGCCTTAATAAAGAATCTGCTTACATCAGCAATACATCACAATACCTTTCTACAAGACTTCTCCTATCAAGTGAAGAACAATTAAATGGGACAAAGTATTTGAAGATCCATTTATTGATTTTACATTCGCAATTGAATGTATGATTAATAGCATTACAGGTTTTTTTTTAAAAAAATAAGGTTCTTTAAAATGTAATAACTTAGTAAGCACATAGTAAATTGATTTGGTCAGACAATAACTATTTACAATTGTAAGACAAATATTTTGGACTGAACCCAGAAAACAATTCACTGCAGGTTTTTCAATTCTATGTTTTAGTTAACTGCCTTGTCACATTTTAAATTAACTGAACCTTTTTGGTGTCTTTCAGGGATAGTCCTCCAGATTCTGTTGCATCATCTAGATATAATTAAGTATGAACAAACCTTTGAAGTTTCGTTTAAATGAAGCTTTGAGTGAAGCAGTCCATTAAGGCATTGTGCCTCAAACTGGAGGCTTGAATGACTATGGTATTGGGGCTTTTGGGCATGCAGAGGTCTCTGAATAAAGACCAATAAATCAGCTTTTATTTTAGTGCTTTGCAGAGGAAGAGTATCTCATCTCTTTGAGGCACTTTATCACAACAAGGAAAAATGATACATATCAGAAGTCAACTGAGATCCTCATGGTCTGAATGAATAACAATTGTCAGATTAGATTAAATCAGTGCTGGTATAATTATGTCTACCCAGATGTTCTTCTTTCCACTATATGAAGATCTGGAAAGGGGAATCAAATAGATTTTGCAAGCTATAAATCTGATCATTTAGGGGAAGCACAATCTCTTCCAAAAAAGGTTAAGAAACTACATTCCCAGTCTACTAATCTCAATTTATCTAGATTAAATTTCCACTTGTTCCTCCTTATCCAACTCATTATTAAAATCAGATAATATTCCAGAAAAGTTCATGATTCCTAACAAAGAGTAATAGAGCTGAGAATCATCGAGTTCTGGATAATCTCAATGATTTTATGTATATATTACCCAATGTGCAAGAAAGAACACTTTAGCCAAGAACGTTAGTGCTGAATGATGGTCCCACAGCACCACCTTCTAGAGCAGAGGTCCCCAACCTTTTGGGCATCAGGGAGAGAGGTTTTTCCACGGACTGGAGGGAGCATGGTTTTGTGTGCTGCCTGCATCCCGCGAATGGGGCTTTTCTTGTTTGTGCAGACAGGCTGCTGGCATGCCACGGGCCAGGGGTTGGGGCCCCCCGTTCTAAAGAACATAATAGTAAAGGTGTCTATTTCTGCTATACAGTACAGTATTGCTGAAGCCCAATCCCACAGTTGTACTATTATCAAAATAAACAGTACTAAAAGTTTTCAAGAAGTCTAGGAATTGACAGAAGACCCTCCTCACTAAGTCACAATATAGATTATTCACCAAAATAATCAAAGTAATGAATTGAAACTTAAGGCCTAACTGAAATGCATTTATAATCAAATATACCTCAAACTATAACAGTTTTAATTGAATAAAAGACTATTACTGCTCTTTATATAAGAAGATACATGCTCTTCCAGCCTTTATTTCTCCTATCTCCCTATCTAAAAGTAAAATAAGAAATCTCTGAGTGTAATGGTAATGTGGAAATGACTTTGGGGAGGGACAGTGTAGGTAGATAAGAGGGGACTTAGCCCGCAGCTGCCTAAGAGAGAAGAAAAACTTAGAAAGGAACGTCCTTAACTTATCAGGCAATAGAAGTGACCACAGGAGATCTGTACTTTCAGACATGCAAGATTCTGTTAATGTAGCCTTACTATAAAGTAGAATTAGCTCATCTGCTGTGTATCCTGTCTGATCTACCTGGAAAGGCTGACAGAAAAAACATTAAAAAAAAACCCCAAAACAACCTCAAAGCCAATTGTTCACAGCACACCCATCAGATCTTCTGATTCCCAAGCTAGTACTCTTTCCATATGTTTCACAGAAATACCAGTATTGCTTTTACATAGGTGATACTTTAACATCTTTCTCCAAAACTAGATGTCATGTTTATAAACAAAAATTTTTAACTGGTCAATGGTGTATCCAAAGCTTCAGATGCAATAGTGGACAGAAAAACTACACCAACCAAATGCATTCTCATGATAGGCTGCAGGTGTTTGAAGTAAAATATGTGGTCATAAAGATACAATTTTTATTTACATATGCATGTCAACTCTGTGTCCGGGGTGTGTATGTGTGTTTGTGACTAACCAAGCCCAGCTTCATTTGAAAGATACATAACTTATTACAGAATTTTAAAAACTAAGTTGTATTTGATTTATTTCAATTTATAATTTTTACTTAACATTACTATGTCTAGAAAATAGTGTAAAGAATGAATGAATGATGAACATATTTTTCATATTCAAAGCAATCCATAAAACCATCCCTCCCTCCCTCCCACATACTATATTGGAGTGCACTTACAATGAAAGCATTAAGGAGAAAAATAACACTGAAGAATTAAAAGAAAAAATACCTTTCAAAAGATTATTCAAGTCCATAGCTTCATGCAGTACCTTTTGAAGACATTTGTGATCTACCTCAGGTTCTAATGAGAAAAAAGTATAAAGAATTATATTAAGCCTAGTGTTTCTGCCATATATATGCTTTAATAAGTTCTGCAGACTTACCATATAACTCCTGGCTCACATTTTGTTGTCTTTTAACCTTTAATTTCTTATCATTGGATGCTACTTCAAAAGATTGGATGGGACTGATATCTGGTGTTGACAGAGGAGTTACATCAGTCACTGTATCTTCAGACTCTTCTGTGTGATCACCCAGTTTTGATTTTATTTCCACTGACTTTATTCCTTGGCTTGACTGTTGTTCTGATGAAAGAAGTGGTGATCTTATGTTTTTCTTTTCTAAAGAACATGATGAGTCTGACAAGCAACCATCAGATCCTGTGTCTGAATAATCTGTATCAGAACTAGATGATGGGGAAGAGGAGGAAGAACTAACATTCCTATTAACCTTTGCACCATTAGGCTGTTTAGAGAGCTTATGTCTAACTCTCTGATTTCTGCTATCATCGCTACTGTCTTCTTCATCTGTGTAGTAATTTTCTTCACATTCTTTCTTTCTTAGGGGAATTTGCACTGGTATGTTTTCATGAAGGGTTTGTTCATTTTGTGCTGTGATTCTATCAACTGGATCCTCCAGATTTAAAGAAGCTAACAAAGAAAGAGCATTATTTGAATGACGAGCACCACTGCCTAATATATGTTCCTTCTCAGATTCTGCCTGTTTAGATTGCTTTTCTTCCTCAGTACTGTTATCCTCCATCGCTTTAGCTTCCTGTTTCAAATGACAATCATCTGTAACTGAACGTTTTTTCTGTGCATGCCCAGAACTTTCCATTTTATTTGTTTCTGTTGTTGCTCCATCTTTCTTCACCTCTTCTTCAAAATCACTATCAAAGAAAGAGTGATCCACTTCACAATCAGATATATCTTCATATCGGTCCATACTGAAGTCAATACTGCTTAAGTGTTTTCCCTACAAATAGAAAACTGGAATTATTATAGCAATCACTGAAAGAAAAATCTTTTTCTAACCTTTTATTATAGCAAATCTTTCCCCACAAATACATATTTTAACTTATCCTCTTGAAGTAGCAGCAATTACGAATACAGCTTTATGCAATATTCTATTGTTTCATTTGGTACAATCACATAATCCAAGTTGCTTTAATACTGTTCAATATTTGGATATCTGGAAAAAAATAAAAAGAAATAATTATAGGAAAATCCCCAACTGGGTGCCTACATTAGAAATGTATACACATCCAAATTTGATAAAATGTGGGGGTTCTGTCACCTATAAAGATATTTTGAATGAGAAAGGAGAATTAAAAGCGAGAAATACCTTAAAGGAAGAAGGAATTGATCTGGAATGGTGGGCGTATCTTCAAATTCAATCCAAATTTAATAAAGACAAAAAGGAACAGGGTATAAAGCAAGACTCTTCAGAATTAGATAAAATCTTATTTAGCAGGGAAGGCAAGACCATAAGTAAATTATATTGATATTTATTAGAGGAAGATATGACTGAGGAACAGGTGAAAGAAATGATGATAATTTGGTGTAAATATTTTGGACACAATATTGGTTTGGATATTTGGCAAAGTTTATGGGAAAAAAATCTAAAAATTACTCTAGCAACCTCCTATAAGGAAAACCTCTATAAGATGTTTTATAGGTGGCACCTCCCTCCCACAAGACTAGCACGAATGAACAAGGGGAAATCCTCCATTTGCTGGAAGTGTGAAGAGACTGTTGGAAATTACTACCACATGTGGTGGCAATGCCCAAAGGCACAAAAATTTTGGAACTTATTAAAGAAGTGGTTGGAAGAAATTTTGGAAATAGATATAGAAGCCAAACTGGAATTTTTCTTATTGGGAATTATAGAAAGAAAATATAAGAAAGACACAAATTATTTATTACTGCATATAGTAACAGCGGCATGAATCGCCTTCGCTCAAAAATGGAAAGAGAAAGATACTCCAACCGAAGAGGAAATATTATTGAAAATTTTCAATTACACTGAAATGGATAGACTTACATGGGAACTCAAGGACAAAAGTGAAACCAAGTACTATAAAATCTGGGAACAAGTTTATGATTGGATAGACAATAAGAGGGTAACCAAGATAAATGTATAGTGCTAGAATAAAATATAGATTATAGACAAATATATATTTAAAAGATAAATAGACATATAGAAATAAGGGGAAAAGTGTTAATAATATATTATAAATAGTGAGCAAAGTTCAAGAACTATATGTCTATATGAGTACTAATACTATTGCAAAATGTTGGAAGATGTATGGAACCAGTGACGTCATATTTATGTCCAATGTGTTTTTAATTTTGTATTATTCATAAAAATTTTAAAAAAAACCACTGTTCAATATTAATTATATATACTGAAAATGTAAGTTTGTGGTTTTACTTTTATATCAAGTGAATAACTATATAATTTAAAATAACATTAATTATAGTATTATTAAAATCCAATAATAATATATGCATTAATTTAGAGATAGAAATAAAAATCATAGGTGGATGATATAAATTCAAAACGTCAGGAGAATGCAAACATTTAAGAAGGCACGAGACTGGGAAAATAAACAATGATCTCCTCCCCCAAACATACTGAAAGGATCAGATCTGTGTGGTACCTTGACATTTTCAGAACTGAAGAGGGAATAATTTCATCTAAAAAGTTTGTATGATATCTGCACCCTCTATTATTGACTAATTCATTTAATTTGCCATCTTCATCTGATACAATGTACAGGTTTTTCCATTCCTTTTTTCATTCTCTCCTTTTTTGTACCACCTAGCCTGGCAAGCTCCTTGTGTAGTCCTAGTAAAAATAATGCCCAACTATGGCTGTTATAGTAAAAGAGTATAATACCACATTAAGGAAAAGTAGCTTTTATTATAGTACTTGGGTTCCATTACAGTGCAATAAAAATAGACATCTGTTCTCCATTTACAATAATATACCTCCAGTTGATATTTTAGTTGGAGTATTAGCATCCTTTAGACCAGTGCTTCCCAACGTTTGTGTGACGGCGACCCCCGTCACACAAATGTTCTGCGCATGCGCGGGGCTGCGCGCATGGGGGCGGGCCCATGCGCGGCGTGCATGCGTGGCACCCCCCCTGCGCGGCGTGCATGCGCGCCCACGCGCGGTGCGCGTGCACGGCAGCGCCCCCATGCGCGATGCGCATGCGCGGCGCCCCCATGCATGGCGTGCGTGCACGGCGCCCCCCGTGCACGGTGCGCATGCGCGGTGCCCCCTCCATGCGCGGCGCGCGTGCACGGCGCCACGAAAAATGGTGGATCGCCGCCTTTGGCGACCCCCGAAAAATGGGCGATCGACCCCAAATAGGGTCGCGACCCATAGGTTGAGAACCGCTGCTTTAGACATTTTATTGATTAGTTCCAAAAAGATTGCTCAGTTGAATAAAATACTTTTATAACGTAACAGGATTTTTTCAAGACTTTGTTGAAGCAGCCTCTCACCAATGGAAATTTATAGTCACAATAAAATAGATAGCCTTTGAGATACCAGTGTGCCTCCTGTCAATCCAATTTGCATGTTAAGCAGTTCACACTGGAAGATTACCTGAACCCTTTGCTATAGCTTCATTGAGTCAGTGATATTTGAAGGAGGCTTCACATTAATTCATTATTTGCTATGCCAGGCAATAATAAAGCATGCATCTCTAGTTCAGTTGCTATGGCATTGCTGTGAGCTGAGCTGCTGTGATTTTTTTTTTCAAGACAGGGATATTAGTTATGACACTAAACTCAGAATATATGTTTAATATATTCAGGAACAGGCCAGAGATTATTTCTGGATATTGACACTAGTTTGCCAAAAGCTTGTTCCCTTCTCAATTATTTATAATAGCAACAACAAACAATCTTGTACTCTGTTCTACACTGGGCTCAAGACTCTTAATCAACAGTAACTCAGATACAGATTTTTATCCATGCAAGTCATCCCAGGGCGTACAAAATACCTGGAACCCCCCCCCCATTATTGTTTTGTATACAATTCTATTGATTGTACTAAGAAAAACACTATTAAATTATCCCTAATTACACCCTAGTTAATTTCCATTTAACCTAATACATTCTCTACTTCTCCAAGAACTCTTTTCTAGATTATTTGTCTATATTTAACAAAACATTTTTGTAATCCTTTCCACACAGAGACTACTTACCGTAAGTAACAAAATGGCTGTTGCTCCTAATATTTGTTCCGTTTGCAGGATCTGCTTGTTTTCCCCCTGCATTCACCTAGTAACTACAGCAAAGCTTATCAATGCTTGTGACAAGAGGGGGAGAATGTATTGCCTTTTTCAAACAGGGCTTGTTGTGGGGCTTTGAGTGACCAGGGTTAAGGGGGAATGACTAGGCCTTTAAAATAACCCTAATAAATAGCATATTAAAATAAAAATAATAAAAAAGAATGATTAGGGCTGAGAATGACTAGTTATAGGTGATCCAGCTGCCTTGCATGCTTAAATAAAGATAGAATCAGGACGTCAGACCTTAAACAATACACTATTTGGCTACTCTACTATAGATAACAAGTTTCCAAATATGTATACATGATGCTTCCTACATGTTTCTATTATTCTTCGGAAGTATAGCTTTTTATCGAGCTGTATGGTGTATATAGACATAGATGGATTTTTTAAAATTGGTTTCAAAGTATAGTATATCCTCCCCTATCATTGAGCATTACCAATTCAGCCATGAACTTTATTATTTTATTACAAAATACCAAATATTTTCAAGTGGGAAGATGAAGTTTCTGTCTTACCCCACATAGGTATCCACAAAGTCTGATTTTTAAATAATAAGATGGCAACTATGCTGGTACAATTAAACCCCACTGTTTTTTTTTTTTTTTAGATATGTTGCAATGCACATAAAAACAGGCAATTTTTTTGACTTTATCATGTTTGCCGTCGTACCTTTTTAACCATATTCTGCAGACATCTATGCATTCCACATATTTTGATAATTTAAAATTTAAAGAATTTGGAATTAAAATATTATTAGATATCATTACAAAACACTTTATATGCCTGTGCTAATACAACACCTACACAATCCTATATAAAGTGTTATTTCTCTGTCTCCTTGGAAATGCAACAGAGAAGTAATTGCATTTAAAATTAAATTTGCACCTTATGATAACTGCTGTGTAGGATTGTTGAAGTGAGGGAGGAAGGCTATGGAAGGCTATATTTTACAACTGTTTTAACATATGTATAGGAGATACTAGCACAACTGCAGTTGTCATGACAAATTTAGTTAATATTTAGCATGCAGTCAATTTGACCCAGAGTTAAGGAATGATACAGATAGCGATTCTCAAAATGTGGTCTGGGGACCCCTGAGATTCTTCCAGGAGATCTATGGAGACAAGTATTTTAAAATCTTTGTTTTAATTTCTAATTCAGTAAATATTGATAGATGCAACCCACATAAACCAAAGCTCTTTGGGGCCCTCAATCATTGTTAATAATGCAAATGGGTACTGACACTAATATGCTTGAGAACCTCTGATAAGAGATAAATGCCAATTTTTCATCTGTCTGGCAAGTCTTCTTTCAGCACTGTTATAGCCCATTATTTCAGGTTTTAAAAAAAGAGTAATAAAGTTCGTGTTTAAATCTTTGCTAAAATTTTGCTTATGCGCCATGCTCCACAAGCCACCCTGTGTAGGAGACTTCATTACTCAGAAACAGCTTTCTCTAACACATATTGCTTTGCTAGGGCAGAACTATCATTTCTGTTATTTTAACCTCTTTAAAACAAGACACAAGGGAGATAAACCACTTTGACGCTTTGGGGAAAGGATCACAACAAGCCAACAGGCAATTTCACTCTCTCAGAAAGTGAGGAGAGGAAGGAAAACATTTGTCCCTAATATATTTTTCCTTCCATCCAGTTTTTTCTTGCAAAAAGCTATAGTATATGGTCTAAAGGACGGTACTGGCTAAGGAATTCTGGGAGTTGAAGTCCACAAGTCTTAAAGTTGCCAAGGCTGAAAACACCCGACGCGAGAGCTGTCCTCAGTGTGTCCTTACAATTAGCTGGATAAACTACGACTTCTTACGGAGAGGCAAGTTTGCGGCTCGATTTGGAACAATGAGTCGTAACCCCGCAACTAACAAGTTAGATTCTCACCGAGCCTCAGCCTCTTCCGCGGTTTCGCCAAAACACCTGACGGCCCCCACATCTGTTCTAAGACTGAGTATAATGCATGTTGGTTGCAAGTTGCACGTGTAAAAAAACTTACAAATAAATTAAAAATATAGCACTTGCTAGCTCGCATAACTAAGCCATAAGATACCAGCCACATGCAACAGATTTGCTGCACTCGGCTGCACCGAGGCACAGCCCCTCGGGGCAAAGGGGCGGAATGCCACCCACTCTTCTCCGGTACTTCACTAAATGCGCTGTCCCTCCATTCCGAAATGGTGATGCGACCGCATCGATTCAACCTTCGTGGAGGGGCGATTGGCCTCTAACCTAGCCACGAGGCCGAAGCAAGGCTCTGCCCGGGGATGGGATGGTTACTCACCCGCAGCGGGCAAAAAGGAAGACGTTTTGCCTGCTCGCTCCGCAATTCTCCAGTCTCCCGCAAGAGAGTCCGGACTCTCCGTCCCGCGCTGTGTTTGCGTAACCAGGAAAGGGCGGGATAGAAGAGATGGAAACAAACATTTCCGTCTCCGCGTTGGCGCGCCCAGGTTCCCTTTTCGAGCAGCAGGGGGAAACGCGGAGTCCTGTTCGCTGGAGCTAAGGCAAAGCGGGTTCGCCGGCTAAACGAGCCAGCATCATATGTTTGACGCAGCCTTAGAAATCTTCGCAAATAACCTTTGTAAATATGTTGTTTTCTAAATCATGTGATCACCTTAATGTCAAATTGTATTGTATTGCTTGGTATTTTCCCAAACAAATTAAGTTCAGCTGAACAGCAGCTTTAAAAGCGTTTCAGAGATCGGATTAAAACACTTTAAAATGGTGTTTTTCAAAATTAGTAACATGCTAGGCAATGCTGGCTGGGGAATTCTGGGAATCGAAGACCACAGAAACCTTGAAAGTTGCCAAGCTTGAAAAACACTGCTTTAAACACTTTGGCACCAGTTAAAATAGAATTATTTTCTTCGTAAGTTAAGCGTCAGAACTATATACAGCCACCAGGATTTGTAAATAGTGTTGTGAAAATCCAAATGATATCTACTTGGTATACTACTCCAAAATGAATAATGATTTGCTTTGTTGCGTGAGCAAATTTGCAGATATCTGTGTTATGATGCTGTCATTAGACGTATTTACTTCCCGGTCGGTTTCACTGGATGGCGAACCGTAACCTGAGAAAACATTACTCAATTACTAGGTAACCGAAGATGTTACCGAGTCTGGTAATGAAACAACAATCAAGATGAGAGAGTATCGAGGACTCCACTGAAAAAACATTTTTGGGAGCGTGGTAGGACCGTTATTAGCCATGTGCCTCATTGCAGGTAGCTATTCTGCAACTGCACGTCTACTTGGGCAAAGGATTATTGCACTAATGCAGAGGTCTTCAAACTTGGCCTTTATAACTTGTGGACTTCAACTCCCAGAATTCCTCAGCCAGCGTGCATGGCTGAGGAATTCTGGGAGTTGAAGTCCACAAGTTATAAAGGCCAAGTTTGAAGACCCCCGCACTAATGAGTAAGGCTGGATTGTGCAACAGAAGAGTGTAGAAAATAGCCTATTACAATGACACCCTCCCCTCGTACTTGGAGGCGCGTAGCGAAGAAACAGCCTCGCAAATCACTCGGTATCGAAACGGCGACCAAGAACAGAGTCAGTGAAGGTTTCGGAATGACACTAGTTGGAGCCCTTTTTTTTGAGAAGCAAAAGACCGGTTAGCGCTAAGATGGATGTAACTACCATCCAAAGGAAGTAAAGAAAGGAAGGCGGTCCTGCCCGCTGCTTTTATGCGACTGGTTCCGCCTTGCTTAGCCGGCGCACGTGGCTGGGTTTCCGGCCGCGCTGCCATTCAGGCCCTTCCCCCTCCCTACTGCTCCTCCCCGTCTGCAAACCGAGCCAGTGGGGCCTCGGCTGCCTCTGAGGTGAATCTTGCGGAGCTGGACTCTCTGGTTGGTGTCAGGAACGGAGGGAAAGAGGCGGAGACGCTTCCTTCGCTCCTCTCGGGCATGAGCAGCGCCGGCTTCTGCGCGCCCAGGGACTTTAGTCGGAGGTTGAGGAAAATCCCCCTCAACGGGGGAACCGAAACCTTCCGAAGAGGGCCCCGGCGCGGGAGATGTGCTGCTTTCCGGCGGCTCCTAGAGCAGCATGTTCCCCGATACTGGCGCTAACACCTCCTCTGGCAGGGGCGGCGGGCAGGTGGAATCCGCAGGCACCGCGGTCGGTTCTGGCGCCTCTGGAGCCCCAAGTCCCGGGCACGGGGAATCCTGCAAGAAGAGTAGCAGCGTCCCAGCCGCGGCCGAAGGCGACGGCGAAGAGGACGAAGAAGAGGCGGCGGCGGCGAAGGCTCCCATCCTGTGGACCCGCTCCATGCTGGCCACCGGACTGGGGATGGTGGGGTTGGCCGTCTTCCTCTTCCATCTGGGGCAGCAGAAGCCGCCGCCGGAGAAGGAGGGGGAGGTCGGCGGACAGCTGTACGTGGCCTGGCTCCTGCTCCGGCTTGTCCTGTACCTGGTTTGTGCTGCCGGCGCCTTCTTACTCGGTTTATTGCTGGCTTTGGGGAGCCAAAGTCGTGGTCGCCTCCGCCCCCCGCCGGGTTTCCTCCCCGCCTGGAAGCGCCGTTACCTGGGAAGAGCGAGCGCGGCGTCGTTCTGGCGAGCTGCCGGGGTAAGCGATTGCCTTTCTCTGACCTCAGTTTTTTCTTCTCAGCCCCGACACTTTTCGACTCGAGGCTGGTGGTCCCCCCCCTCCCCTTTGGAAACAGGGCTGAGTTTAAGCCGGGAAGCATCTTGGCTCAGCCCTCTTTTGGATCCAAGTGCCTTGAATCTCTGAAACAAGCGAGCTCTCACCACAGACCTCCCATCTGCTACCTGTCCTCTACGTTGGGGATTAGAAGCCTTCAGGTATTCTGGGCTTTCGGTAAATCACTGTTGCCTGACATTAAAGCTCTATTGCACTTGTTACAGAGGATCGAGAAAAATGGGAAGAGGAGATGTGAGTGGGTGGGTATGCGATTTTCACTTTCCCTCTTTGGAAAAATGTTACTTTGGAAAAGTTGAGCTTTCTGACACCTGGGTGTGATTGGGAAGTCAGTGCGTTTTTGGAGCACAGTCCTTAGGGACCACAATTGGGATGGCAATTCGGTTGTTAAATGAAGCAGTTGCTAAGTGAAACTGCTACTGTGCTTATCTTGTTTAAGCTTTCCTTTGCTTTACAAATGGGTGTAGGCTGTAAATGTGAGAACTGATCATAAAGTGAATTTTCCATCAGTGTCATAACTGAATGGTTACTAAATGAGGCAGTTGCTAAAGGAAGACTTAACCTGCAGGATTAAGATGGGTCACATTGCTAGCATGACCAGATGTTTGATTACTGCTGGGTCATAAATAAAAACAAACACTGCAAACCCATTGAAAAACCTTGAGTTTGCAATTTGAGAATTGCATACCTTTAATTTAAACAGATTCTGTTTCCCTCTGCATAACAGCTAACTTACAAACTTGCAGAACTCTTTGTATTGTTTTAGCTCTTCAGTCTGGAACAAATGGTGAAAAGAAGCAATGAAGTAGTAATTTTTTAGCACATTGACAAACAACATGTGGGCATGTTTTTTCATAACCACTCAATGCCTGTGACCTGAAAATTTAAAATCTTTTGGGCAATAAAGTGCTCTTTATCTTTTAATTTCTATAGCATTTTTGTAGAAATACTTGTGTAGCCTAGAATATTGAAACAGTTGAGAACAAAAAAGTTTTTTAAAACCCTTCAAAGTGTTGCAGGAGAAGCAAAACAATCCACATTAGCTCAAAGCCTGAGGAAAAGAATAGGTTGTTAACAGTTTGTTTGAATGAGGGAAAGTAGAGAGTTAGTATACAGACGTTTGTAGGTATGCTGTGCCAGAGTCAGGTCTGCCATAGAGATTCAGATTTTATTGATTAAATGTGCTTTGAGTTATTTTAAGCTAGCATCTAAGTGGATGAATTACCATAAGATCATAGAGAGTTTGCCATAGGTTTAGCCCAGCCCTGTGCAGGAACAAGGGCATCCCAAATTCTAAATCCATTGAATGAACAGTTCTGTATTGAAACAAATGTAATTTGTTTACTTAGAAATAGTTTTAAAATTTGGATCCTTCTAGTTCTGAATTGCAAGTAAAATTAATTTGAGAATAATGTTTTTGTAGTAAAGTCAACTTATTTTGGATACTATGGTACAAATGGATTGCTTGATAATATATTATCACTGTTATTGAAAAAAAAGCTACTAGGGTATGGCAATTAGAGTGTTGGATTTTGATTAAGCAAACCTAGCTTCAGTTCTTTTAGCCATGGAATTAGCTGGATGTTCCTGGCTAGTTTTCTCACAATATTTCTCACAGCTAGCAAAGTACCGGTAGTTGTTGTGGGGATAATTTGAAGAGCAAGGTTTGAAGACAGCAAAGTCCACATTTTGGACAGAGAGGGCCGTTGGTTTGAAAGAAGGATCAAAGAGGCCATCTATGTCAAAACTGAACAACCCTCTTTCAACAGAGGGGAAGGAATATGACATCTATCTCCAGTCTACAATACAGTCCTTTCAGCAGTTCCAAGAAGGCTGCACACCCATTTGCATTAAGGTGACCCGAGGAAACAGATAAATCTCCAACTGGTCTCAATGACTCTTTAAAAGAATGCAAATGACCAGCTGTCTGCAAGGAATATAAATTCTTCCATTCCCGACCATCCAGTCAGAGCTGAAGAAGCTTCTTGGATGAGAAGCTTAACATCTTCAAAGAAAAAGTCCAGTTGACCCTTGAAAAAGCATCTTTGGGACAATCATGACCTGGATGGCTGAGAATCTCCATAGACAGATTCCATATATTTTATTTTGAGATTAAATTTTCCTCAAATTGAAGTTGATTCTTGGTGACTTTATGGGCAACTGTGGAAATGGTTTTACATTGCCTTTTTCTAGAATATTTTTCAGCTTTGGGAAAGCTTAGAGCTCAAGAGCTCTCTAAAAGTCTCTAATCCAAGTCCTAGCCAGGTACAAATCTACTTACTTAAACCCTCATCAGTTACTTCCTTTATGCATCTTGATGTGTAATCTTTTTGTTATGGTTTTGATTACATGTACCCAGGATCAGAATGATTATGGTTTTGTTGAGCGCCAACATTTTGTACATTTTATATAGAAATTATATCTGAAGAAAAACTGCCAATATAAAGCTCAAAAATTTGTTAATCTGATTCTATATCAATTAGAATCTGAATTTGAAAAGCAGCTTTTGTATGTTATATATATGCACACATTTATCTTACATATTTCTAACTACGTTAATATGTACATTAGATGAGAATGTTGTGATGCTACTGTGTTAATGCGGTATGTGCTGTATGTATGTTTGCCGTGTATATATTACGGAGTAGAATGTAATAATTTACTATAGATAATTGTCAATATGATCACCTTGCATTTTGGTTTGTTGTTTTTGTACCTTTAATGGCTGATGTTTATGATATCAAATGTTGTTGACCATAATTAGACTCAAATAAGTGACCATATCTGTTGAATGTAATGTTTTCACTTGGATGTGATATCTTCTGAAAGGGAGAGCTGTTATTGTCAAGATTTAAAAACACACTGTTACGAGTACAGCCTCATTGGAAATCAGTATTTTAAACATCCTTGTAATGTATTCCAGCTGCACCTCGTGGAACAATATTGCATATAAGTCAACAGGAGTTACGAACCTGCAACATTGTGGTTGCTAGTCTTGAGTCTTTAACAATAGTTCATTGGCTAATCTTGTGTGCAAGATTATTCATTATACTGAACAATTATTTTATTGATTTGTATATTTACATAACTAATTAGGCCTTAGTAATGCAAAAGGTTTCTTAAGTGAGAGAGTTTGCTGATAACTGCTATCTTTGGATAATGACCCAACATTTCTTTTACCTTCTAGATTTCAAGAATGAAGGTTTCTTGTTCTTAGTCTGTAGAAACCATTCAGATAGGATAGATGGGCAAGTGATTGTCTATAGATTTCTAACCTTGGATTGACAGCTTCAGCTCTGATAAAGTAGCTCAGCTAAAAAAAAATCATAGTTTTGCATAGTTCTCATTTTTTGAATGTCCCTTTATAATTGTTGTTTTGGCTGCTTTCTTTACCAATAAGTCTAGTATTCTTTTAGATTCTCTTTTTCATAAAATACCCTGCCTATTTTTTATGTAATTATTCATCTTTATTGTGTCAAGATTTTTGTGTGTATCCTTGGGGCAACATTTAAAATGTTCACGAGTGCTTTGAAAATAAACCCGTCTTTTAAATCATCTATTTGCAGACCAAGCTTGAGCAATGTGTAGAGGGGAAGGACCACACTGATAAATAAATAAAAATCTTCCCAGTGAGCTGCAAAAGAATGTCTGGCTCACTTATTCAGTTGTTCTATTGCCAGTGAAGCAGTGTTTGTGCTGGAGAAAGTAGTGGTGAGGCTCGGGGGCATTCAGCAGCCCATCTTTTGGGATAGTGTCCCCATAGATATTCAGTAAATTATAGATGTTACAGTAATAAGTAAGAAAAGAGAGAACATCCCTATATTCTATGTCTTCCAGTTATGAAATACTGATATTTTCCTTTTTAGGTTATGTATAGGAGTATACTTTATTTTCAAATATTTAAATGTACTATATATTATCACATTTTATTTACAATTGTTTATATTTCATAGAGACACTTTATGAAGGACAGATATGTAAGGTAGGATATAAACTGATTTTTTTTAATGTTCACACAATCTACTGAGTTTTTAAAAAAACAAATTCAGATATGGATTCTATGATATAAAAATGTATAAACATTAGCTTGGAAGGAAATTTATTATGATAACTTGTACTTAATAATTTGTACATTATATCAGACATAGCACAGTTTGTGTTGGATGCATTAGTCAATTCTTGTTCTGTGGAGTATTCAACCATGTCTATTATGGGTGCATCTTTTTCTGGCTTTTAGAACCTCATATCTGGAAATGTACAAGAACCAGTCCAGTCAAGGAGAGTGGTAATTTCTCATAACATGGACAAAGCTCTGAAAGAAGGTAGGAGTCTCCTAAGATCCTTTTGAAATATCTCATACTCTTCTCTTTCTCCTTGCTCAAATTCGAACATTCAGCAAGAATTACATGTATTTTCAACATCTTTTATTTTCATCATAAATAGTTGAAACCTCTGTTTACCAGATTTCAATATCGTAGACTCAAGTCTGAATTTCTATTCCAATTTTCATAACAACTTGTAAGTGATGCAATTGCATCATTTGCATCAATTTATGTCATTTGCATATTGAAATAATGAAGCATCTGAGATTTTGCTACCTGATTTCTGTCCACATCTATCTCATTCTGGGAAATAATGAGTTGGCATAAATTATACAAAAGTCCCTCAAGTATTCTTAAAATGCATATTATAACTCTTATCAGTTGGAAAATGTATTTATTTTCTACAAGTTAAGAAAAAAGAGTATTCAGGGATGAATATGCATTGCACTTGCTTGATTTGCAATGCCAAAATGATCCCTGCCAAATGATGATGACTTTGGCAGCTCTGGAATAAGAAATTCCATGTTTGACATCTGTAAACAATAACGTATACTGCCTCTTCAGCATTCTTTTTTTCCCCATGCCTTCCACTTTAACCACTATTACAAAGTCCCTACAATATTGTTGGGAAAATTTCAGAAGTGGTTTGCTACTTCTTCCGTCCTAGGCTTGAGAGAGAGTGACTGCCCCAAGGTCACTCATCTGGCTTTGTGCTGAAGACTAGAACTCAAGTCTCCCAGGTTCTATCCTGATGCCTTCAACATCAACACCAAGTCTAAAGTCTTTAGACTTCAGCTTTTTATGCCATTGCTATTCACAATATTAGCAGCTGCTTTCTAAAGAGTGAATATACACAATCCTGTCTCAAGCCTCAATGACAGAAGGAGATCCAAAGCATTTTTATTTGTATCAGTATCAGTAAATACCCTACTTCTCATATATTCTAGGATTACGGCATAAGACACCAGGAAGATGGGGAATGCAGCATTAAGCACAAGAAATTTTTAGCAGTACAGATCCATAGGACCAGGGTGTATTTACTCAAAGGGCTTTTTGGGAGAAGAGGTTTAAAACTTCCAGTGTTTCATCCAGCGGCCTCAGATTGTTATTCTAATTATAGAATACATAAATCCTATTGGCTCTGTTGATTAAATGATCAAGAACTCTAGTGAATTAGCTGTCTGATTACTGGACAATGCACTTTTTTTAAAAAAAAAATTATTAGAATAATGAAAAACGAAAGATTTACATTAGGTATTAACAGTTGAATAGCACAAGGATAAAATATAAAAGATGATTAAAATAATTTTGAGCAATTTTTCTAGTAATACATTTTTCTATTCATTGTTTCTCCAGTTGCTGAGCAGAATCTATATATTTATACTGTGAACATTATATATTATTGCCAGTATCTATTTAAGTCTTTTCATCTAATATTTTTGATTGGTCTCATTAGTTTTTTCTAGAAATCATGCTCCAAGTGTCTAAATTTACTCTATATAATATGTAATGTATATGGGAGTCATTCTTGCTCAAATTTGGTTGGATTTTCACTATAGATACACTGTATGCTTTCAGTCTTGCCATCACTGCATAGTCTCCATTGTTAGCCTCCCAATCTTACATTATCAGCAAAGTTTCTCTTTTGTCTCAAATTGGAAGATACTAGACAATTTTCTGGACAGTACCATTCAAGTATCTAGCAGCTGAAGACACGTGAAGGGCAGCATGTATTATCAGAATAGTTCTTAGTGTGTTTTCTTATTGTCTATTGTGCTGGCTTCTATTATAAGATTCAAATCAACAAAGCTGATAATTCTATACTGCTGAAGTGACCAAATGAGAGTGGATTGTGCCCAGACCCAATTTAGTCTGGCATTTGTTTTCTCACAGTAGCTAATTGGATGCTTCTGGAGTGATTACAGGGAGGAATTAGAAATATATCATCTTTCCCGTTATTGTCCCCCTGCAATGATTTGGAAACATGCAGCCCCAGGTAGAGATTACATTGAGTTTTAAAACTAATAACCTTGATAGATTGTCACCTTTAACCCATCCAAGTTAGTGGTCATCTTCTCATCGTGTAGTAATCTATTTCAAGAGTTGATTAGAATTTTTTTTTTAAAAAAAACCATTTTTTTGTTCTATCCTTCTGGTCAGCTTCATTGTGAAAGAAAAAATAGATTATGTAAATACAGAAAAGAATAAGTCAGTTATATGACCAATAGATTCCAGTGTCCTTATGCAGATATAAGGAATCAAGAGGAAGGTTTAATTTAGGAAGTCAAATTTGATGTAATAGGCATTACCTACCCTTGGTGGGATGAAACCCGTGAGAAAAATGATATTGCTTATGATGCATTTTTGACAGATCTACTTTGTTCCAACAACTATGGCGTTTGTTTTTTTTTTTAGCATGGGATTGGGATAAGTCTCTTGGACTTTCTGTTCAGATATCTGGCTGAACAAATCCACTTATGGCCTTTCTGTGTTGATCTCCAGTAATTTTTTTCTTGGATTGCGTTTCTTGTGTTGTAAGATTGCCATTCTTATTTTAGAGAAGGAAGAAAATGTAAATGTTAAAAAAGAAAGTTGGCAGCTTTTTCAGATATAGTTCCTGCCTGACTTGGCAGAGTCAGGGAGGTGTTAAATATGGATTCATCCTGATGTTTTTTTCTTTCTTGCAGTGTTTGACTACATCTACCGAGATTACATTTTGTCTTGGTATGGAAACCTCAGCAAAGATGAAGGACAGCTGTATCATCTACTGTCTGAAGACTTCTGGGAAGCTGCCAAGCAGCTACGGCACAGGCTCAGTCACATTGATGTAGTTAGAATCATTTGCAATGATGTAGTGAAAGCTGTGCTCAACCATTTCTGTGATCTTAAAGCAGCCAATGTCAGGTAATAACACATCCCACAAACACACATATGTATCTTTTCTATTTGTGCATTAGTTATGGTTACTTTTTTTCTGCTTATGTCTGAATTGTGTTGAGATGGCAAAAGCAACTTTGAGGTAGTACTCATGGAAGCATCAGTGGTGACATGTCTTCTTGACAAGAGTGCTGCAAGCAGGTCCAAAATATTGGGTGTTTTGTCTCAGTATCATGCTGCTGAATTACAGATGGTCTGCTGAAGCACAGCATTGTTCCAGAGAGATTCAAATCCTGGATTTCACTAAAGACAGAGATATGATTAGGCTTGTTTATAGAATTTTATAAATTTCAAGAACATATAATATATCTATAATTATTTTTCCAAATATACTTCTTCTGTTTGATAACTCAGTTTTTTGCTCTTTATTAAAGTTGGGCAAATGAGCTTAACAAATATTAACTTTTGCCATTAATGCTTAAATTTTTTAACCAATAATCATGTTAATTAGGGTTATAAGACTTGAAATCCAAAACACCTATATGGCACAGGCTGAGAAATATGCATTAAGTATACATTAAGGTAGTTTCAGACATGGGTGCCTGACTCATTCCTTCTATTCTTGCAAAGAGATTAAATCTTCAGATATCTGTTCTCAGGGTCATTTATATCAGGGGTCCCCAATCTCTGAGCTGCAGCCCATTACCAGGCTGTGGTCTATGTGGAATTTGGCCACGCAAGTGGCTGGCCAGAGCGTGTACACGCACAGCTCAACTTGTGCAAGCGGCAGGCTGGCAGTCAATCACACGTATGTGCGCTGGCCCGCCACTCATGCAACCCAGTTCCCCTATCCTCCCCATCTGATCCGCCAAGCCACAAAGATTGGGGACCACTGATTTATATGAACTCCTGCAATGATATCTCCTGTTGTAATTTTAGATATCCTTTTTGATTCTGCTGAACATTACAGCAGTGGTTGGTTGGAGTAGTTGAAAGGATTGCTACAAGAAGGTGCCTGATAGCCTCTCTTTCATATCCAGAGACATTATCTACTTTCTCATTAAAGCAGTTTATGGAAAAGTGAGTTTCTATGTCATTTGCACCTTATGTGGCAAGAGACTATATTAGTAAAAGATGCAGAGCATGGATCTGTGCTCAGAACTTAGTCGAAAAAGCTTGGGATTCTCCTCATCTTCACTCTCTCCTCTTCCTGTCTATTTAAAATGGTTTAATAATTGAGTAGCAGTCTTAAGTTAGCATGATTTAATAATGGTTGTAGTACGCAGATTAGAAAATTGAGTTTCAAGGTCATTGAAACTCAATGGGTAATTATAGACCAGTTGTTTTCAATTTGTTGTATTTATATTTTGATGAAGAGTTTTCCAGGAAATGTACAAAGTGGAAAAAAGCCAATCAATTGGATTAAAAAGCAGCATCACATACAAGAACATGGAGGGAAATTATCAGAGCAGAATACAAAATGGCTTAGCCCTGAAATAATAGCAAAATTGGCAGCCGGGTTTATTTTGCTATAGTAAGGTGGTTTAGGCAGAAAAGTAGGACCATTATGAAAGAAGTGATGTTAATGTGGTGATGATATATGCTTTTAGTCATTTTGATAATCTTTATTGAGTCTACCTGATTTAAAAGACATGGCTAGTATTATCTTCTCTGGAAGTATCATAGCCAAAATAAATTCATTTATTCTAAGTAAAACCTTAATTGAGACTGCTCTAAAACTGCATCTTATGTTATGTTCATGCATTGTAGAGATTTTTTATCTATCTTTCTCTGCCTAAAATCCTACTGAGGTGATGCAAGTAAATAGATTACTTTCTTCTGATGAAGTTAGCTTTCTTCCGTAATTGAAATAGCAGTTGTGGAATAATTCCTACATTAAATCTCAACACAGACTTCTACTAAAAAGATGTGCATAATTCTGCTTTGTTTCCAGAAATCTAATATATGATTGTGCCACAGCCCACTCCCATTTTTTTTCTGGTCTTGATAGTAATTAAAGATATGAGTTTATTCTAGTTACATGTTCAGTACAACTTACATGATTTGAACATTCTCATGTCTTGTGACAATTATATGCAAGTTGCTTAATTGCCATTGATATTCTTACAGCTTTAAAAAATGTGTAGAGAAATCAAATTCACCTGAGAAATAGATTGAAAGATAGTTGAAGTACTGTTTGTACTCTATCCTTTGCCTTCCTTTAATAGCTTTTCCAGCACACTCATTTTAATGCATGTAGCAAATGTGGGAAACATGAGAGGACTTTTATCTGTAAATCTTAATGCCTGCCAAAACATTCTAAATATAAGTAGAAAATTGATCTTCTCTAGTCTACCTTTTTTAGCTAACATAACAAACTGAGCATCTGTTTTACTGTACGTTCTTTACAGTTGCTAGCCTAAATTATATCTTATCCATAAATTCCTAATCAAGCATCTTTTAATTTAGCAATTTTTAAAACTTAGGTATCTGAGATATGCAGATAAAGCAATGAAGTTATGTGCCGTAATAGAAAAGCCAAGGAAAATTTTAGATTTATTGTTGTGGAAACCATCTCTCAGTTTCAAGTCATGCTTGTTAGGGATCACAAGTGATCTATCAAGGTAAAGAAGTATCAGGATAACTTCAAAGACACATCTTGATTTAAGGATGGAGTTAAACAGATAAAAGGCTTAAATAAAACAACCCACGTTACCTTGCATTTTTTTATTATTATTATTATTATTATTATTATTATTATTATTATTATTATTATTATTATTATTATTTTGCTTTCCTGGACCAGTTACTAATATACAGTGCTGTGAAAAAGAAAGTGCACCCTCTTTGAGTTCTATAGTAACAAATCAATGTAAATTGATTTTTTTCTGTAAGCATATATCTTGGTTCCCAGAGACACTTAGTATTTGTTTTTTTGAAAATAATGTATAGTGAAGATGAGTCAGGGTTCTGAAATATTTTACTGCTATGTCTTTTGGTACTTAGCACTGTAAAAAAGTTTTCAGTTTTTAGCACAAGTCAATCTAATATATTTTTGTATAGTTGTCCTCTGCATGCAGACTTACATTGCAAATATTTTACTGGTTGGTAGTCTGGATGTTTGCTAAATAAATCTCACATTGATATTATAGGTTGTTCTGCAAATTGATGGCTTTTTATATAAAAAAACTGAAATTAAAGCCATCCATTATGTCCATAAAAATAGAAAAGTTCCTTAATAAATTTTATATTAAAATGTAATAAAATGTAGTTTGAAACTACGGAAAAAATAAAATTGTGGTTTTCTCATAAGAAATGTATGTAAGAAAACTTCCTTTGAGAAAAGAAATAAAATAATATGATGCCTTATTCAGTTAGAATATTTATTGTCAAGTACAATCCCAAAACATCTGGGATCTCCACTTGTACACTATCGGCAGCTTTACTTGGAACAGTTTGTGTCCTGGAATGATATCTTTCAACACCAACAAACAAAATCTACCTCTCCTAGGTCCTTGGGAAGGACTTGATAGATAGACTAAAATGACAATTCTGACTATGCAATCAACTATAATAATGATGATGATGATGATATGTTAGCACTTCAAGATTGATGGAATGTTACTTTCTCAGGATTTGCAGATTGTAAAAGCCAGAAATAACACATGAGCACATGGAAAATTATATACAATAGTATATTAATCAAAATTTAAATGAGATAATGTAATTTGTTACTGAATATATGAAACTACCCCCTTCAGAAATTAATGATCTATTAAATAAACTTGTGAGCTGTTTTTCTGTTTAATTTGATTTTTTTCCATCAAAGTAGAATAGTTAGTCTGTCCTGCTTGACTATGCTTCATTTTTGTTTTAAACATAGTGCCTTATTATTACATTTTATTTTTAATCACAGCAAAAGTGAGAGTTTTTAAAAGATTGAACTATTCAACTTAAATTAATTCTTTACATATTCTTATTGTTTAAATGATTTGCAAATCCCCTTTTTAAACTTTTTCAATGTATCAGGGTTGAATATCACAATACTTTGATCTTTTTTTGCTTGATATGGAAGATTTGATGTAAACATTATTGTTCTTATTTCTCTTGTAAAAATAAAACTAAATCCACTGACAATTTTATTTTATTTGAAAATAACTTGGATGTTTACTGGTTCTGTAGATGGATATAGCATGTAGAATTGAATGTCTTCTCTGTGTTTCTTCACTGATTATACTTGGGATTTGGGAGATATAATTAGCTAATGTGAAAACATCTCTTAAGCTTATCCAAGAGTTGGAAGGCAGCGTAGTCCATTTTTCTGGTAATGCCACTCTTAACCTCCTATCCTTTTCTTTTATTTCTATCGTAGTGGAGAACGCTGGTTACGTGAGAAGTTCATAGAGAAATTCCGCTCCCCTTTCCTTTCCTTTGTGCCTTTGAGCATATTTTAGGGATGGCAAAGCATTGGATTTTGTTGGAGCAGTTGTTGGCCCTGTATACCTCCCAGTAAATTCATAGACATTGTATGCAATTGCCTTCTTGCAATTTGCTAGCCACTGAATGCCTAAAAGTAAAACAAAACCAATATGTCTAGAAGCACTGTAATGCTTACCATTACTGTGGTACTTGCCTAACTAATAGACTTTAAAAACAAAACAAAACAGTGTATCACAATCAAGCCAGGTCTTGAATGTAAGAATGTTTTAAATTACTGAATAATTTAAGATAGAGGTTTAATGGTAAATGTCTAAGTATTAAATCCACATTAGTAAAAGCTTTGAATAAATTTAATAAATTCCACTGAGGTTACTGAATTGCAATAAATTAATGTACTGTAGTACAAAGAAATTGGAAACTTCAGCTTTTCTTGGCCCAGATTTGGAATTTATAAGAAATAGTCGCTATCCTGAAACAACACAAGATTTTGTGTTTTCCTGGTTATGGCTAGAACTAATTTAGAAATCGCTTTCTCTCTTTCTTAGAATAATAAGCAAAAAGCAAAGAATTGTAGTGGAGAAATGAACAGTTATTCCATACGCCATTGTGAAATTTATTAGTATACAATTCAACAAAAGGAATGCTTTTCTCCTGTTTTTCTCTGGCTTGATAGTTCTAAATAATGGTGATTGAAGTCTGATTGCAGTGATATTATCTCATTTATAGATTGGAAGAACAACCACGGCCATTTTTACTGCATCCTTGTTTGAGGAACTCTGAAGAAGAGGCAAGATTCCTGCAAGCATGCTCTCAGACTCTGGTCTATTGTCTTCTGCCATCAAAGGATGCTCAGTCTTTAAGCTTGCGTATAGTCCTAGCAGAGATACTTGCAGCAAAAGGTGAGAAATAAATATCAATGGAAAAGAGTTTATTTGATAGTCTCAGTGCAAAATGCTATACATGTATTTATCTTGTTTAAGTTAGTATACAAATTGAGCAGTTATATAAAATACTGGATGGCATTAATTAGCCAATTAGAAATTTGTTCTTAACAATTTTTTTTCTAAAGATTTAATTGACTGATCAGCTGATTTAAAGCTCATAGCACCAGTTTTCCAGTGTTATAAGGTGGTGTTTACAAGAATAGATTAGCAATATTATAGTAAATTAATTCTCAAATCATAATTTGAAATCTGTGATCACAATTTTTAAAAGTGTTGTGAACTCTATTTTTTCTGTTTCAGTAAAGGCTATTAAGGATAGAAGTCCAGTTTTAACTTATAGGAAAAATCATCATGGAATACAATGGGGTTTTTTTCTGAGTATTGAGTAGAATTGAGTTATATGTTTTAAGAAATAAACTTTCTATATTGAAATACAGTTCTTATTAAAAGTGTTGTATTGATTCTACCTAACACATATTTTCTTTTTGTTTTTTGTTTTGCTAATTTTAGTACTGAAACCAATAGTAGAACTGTTGAGCGATCCAAACTACATCAACCACATGTTGCTTGTCCAGATGGAATACAGAGAACAGCTGATTGAGCGTCACAAGAGAGCCTATACATATGCTCCTTCTTATGAAGAATTCATCAAGCTTATTAACTGTAACTCAGATATTGAGTTCCTCAAACGATTAAGGTATCTCAATGTTTGTTCCCAGGAAACATAACAACTCCCCCCCACCTCTGTTGCTTTAAAGGAGGTGGGTTAAATGTGTCAAAGTCAAATATTTCAGTATTTATGGCTCTAATGTTATCATAGTCATATATAGGCAATATATGACCTATGTATGGTTTACATCTTTGTACCAAAGAATTTGAAACAGCTTATTCCGGTTTCCTGACAACAGAACAGGAAGCCCCAAGAATTTTTATCTTGCTGAATATTCCTATTGCTTTTTTGAGCCACAGAAAATAATGTTGTAGTTTCTGCTATAACTAAAGAGAATCTGGGGTTTACTTGAACACCAAAAGTCTTGTATATCTTAGATCAGGTTCCTTTCAAATTTCAGTTCTAATTTTCAGGACTTTAACATTTATCTCATAAAGTGTATTAAAGTTGCCATTTCAACAATTTTCACTTAATTCATAAACTGAACAATGTGTCTTTGATCAAGCAGTTCAGTTGCTCTTTGAATACAATTTGTTTTCATTGTAAAGAGTTATCTTGGAAAAACTTAATAGTAAAAGCACTCTTGGTTTTATTCAGCCTTAAAATGAGGAAGAGCATTGATCATTCTGTTTGGAACTGCTGGGTATGTAACTTGGCAACATCTGGTCTCTTGCAGATTTACCATCTTTCTTTCATTTCACTTTTTACCAGTGATAACCTTGCCAGAATACTTTTTTGAGGCATATGATAGTTATGGGAAAGAGCAGTATAACCTTAGCAGTTCTCATCTCTGCAAATAAACTCCAGCACAGATTTTATTTTTATTTAAAGTTGTACACATGCACATTAGCCCGCTGTTTCATATGAACTAACACTAGCTGTGGTTACATTGTTTAACAACATAAAAACTGGCATTATGCACTGTTTCTCTTGATAAAATATACTGACAAATGTTTAGGTTTTGATAGATTTCTAAATTATACCAGAATTCTGGTTATGGGATTTAATTTTATTGTATACTGGCAGTTTTCATTACCTATCCTGTTTGAGTTGTTCTGTTTTTCCCAACCAGACTTCTAATTTGACAGAATTTCTAAACTATTCTCAAGATTCTACCCCATCCATTTTCTGAGTGTCTATATTGCATATATTTCAGGTTATGTTTTCCAGTTTATTCTACTAAAAAAAATATCAGTCTTTGATCAATGACAGATGACATCTTAGTAGTCTTCTTTTTTCTGAGAAACTAACTCAGGAGAAACTAAGGCTGTCAGTCCAGATGTATAATATAGGGTTGGCTTAACTGTTTATTCCCCCAGAATAAAATCTTCAAACATTTTAACAATGTTCTGATAAAATATTTAAAAAAAAATGTTTACAATTAGTCCTCAACGTACGACCATAATGGGGCCTGGAATTTGTATCAGTCATGATGGTCATAAGTAGAAGCATCCAAATGACAGGACCTGATTTTATGACTTTTTTGCAATGTTCATTAAGCAAATCCATATATTATTGTAGCACTTTTGTTAGAAACTGGCTGAAAAAAATTGGATACCAGCAAAAAAAATAAAAATAAATTGTGGTCATTGATCTTGAAACACTGCAACCAGGCATAAAGGTGAAGTGGTTGCCAAGCACCAAAAATGCAGTCATCTGAGCAGGGTGTGTGTGTGCAGCTTTTGGAAGTCCAGAATCAGGATGTAAGTAATTTTTGGGTCTGCCTTTGTCTTTGAATGATCACTAAGAGACTGGTCATTAAGCAAGGACTACTTGTGTTTTAGATTATTCCAAGTGATACCAACCCTCCTGCACAGACAGAGTTTGCATTTATATTAATATATTAATAGTCCTGATATTTATCAACTTTACAGGCAGTGGATAAAATTTGAGTCCCGATATCCCCTGCAGAACATTCTACGTCTGTTAAATTTAGGTTTCATAATGTTTCTGGGAAGATGGGGGAGCAGGCTGATAGAAGGTTTGGCAGCAGTGTTGGAAAGATTGGATGTAGATGAGATGAGATATGTCATGATTTGAAGTTGGCACTAATGAAAGCATTGTTTGGAGGGCACTGTCTTAAGACTGCATTTGCAGTACAGTGGGGCACTTTCGGCTTGGATTTTGGAAGTTGTACAAGCTTTTCCTACTTCCTTAGAACTGTCATATTTTTCCAGCCACTCCTGTAGCAAGTGAGCCAGGTGGTAGATAGGGTGGCAGCCATAGAATAGACCCAACTGACTTGAAGGAACCTGAATTTAAGTGGAAATCTGAATATTATAAACCAGTGATGGCAAACCTTTTAGAGACCGAATGCCCAAAAACCGCCTCACCCCTGTGCCGCACTGCCCCCCACCTCACCCACCCGCAAGGCCACCCACAACCTCCATGGCCCGCAGCATCATCTGCATGCAACGGGGTGTGAAGACGGAGTCTTTTCCCGCTGCCCGGCTGCCATGTCCTTGGCTGCGCTGCTCCATGCAGGCCACGCCTGGGGGCGACTCTCTTCTGGGGGGGCTGCTGGTGAGGACGGGACTGGGGGCTGGGGCAATGGCGTGTGTGTGTGCCCACAGAGAGGGCTCTGAGTGCCACCTCTGGCAAGCATTCCATAGGTTCGCAACCACTTTTACAACCACTGTTATAAACTATTACTCTAATTGAGTTTTAACTCACTTTAGTTGAGGCTTCATTAGAGGCATCAGCTTAATATCAGATACATAAAGTGGGTTTATCTATAGTATTTCTTAGTAGTTTTCAGTGTTTTGATGGTGTCTATGTATGAGAGATAAAGACTGCCACAATAATAAGCAATCTGATACACACACACACACCACACACACACACACACACACACGTATAAAAGCTTTTTACAAAAAAAAAAAAAGAACATGCGTATCTTTTTAAGGAATTCATCAGAGCAAAGCCCAAATTTCTTATCCTTGATATTGCATAAAACCAGCATCTCAGTCTTGTTCCCTGAAAAACCCTATTTTTATTATTTCTGGAAAATGTAATACTGAGTTTACAGAAGATTATGTCAGAAACTTGGCCTTTTCTTCTTTTTGAATTCAGATATCAGATTATGGTGGAAATAGTTCAAGCAACTACTATCAGCAATATCCCCCAGATGAAACGCCAAAAAGGTAAGTTGTTTTTTTAGGACACATTTAAACATACTGCTAAATTTTGCTTATGATCATTTGTGCAGAAATGACAGTGACTGACCATTTGTAGTTGTAAAATTCTATATGATGGTATGGATTTCACAAAGCATCCAGTACTATAGGAATCAGACAACTATTAAAAAAATAAGTCTAAGGATTTCTGAAATGTTTTCCTTAAAATAACAAAACATATTGCATGCAGCTGACTTTTCAAACCAGTGAGGGTTTTGAAAATATTGATATATTGTGCGGAATCACCAGTTCAATCAGGCTCAGACATAGGAAAAGCTTTATGGCAAGAACAAACATTCTTGAGAGTACGCAAGAACAAAATCGAATTAAAAGATGGAAGAAGGAGACCACTTAGCAATTAATAACATTAAAGGAGGATATGATTGAAGGATCCAATCTCCTTTATACTACTTGGAGGACCTGAATAGGATGAGGGTTGAAGTGCCTAAGTGTAAAACTGATTTGCTGAAGTGGAAGCTCTTAGCCATACAACATGCTATGTGAATGTGGAGACATACAGAGCCCAGCTCATTTGCTGGTATGTTAGCTACTACCGGAAACATGTACCAATAATGACTTATTTTTGACCAACGACAAAGCCATGAAGGTGTCTTCATTCTGGCAGTTTAAAGTTTGATCTGGACACAGCAGAAAACCATTCACTTTTTTTCCTTTTTAAGTCAGAGCCTTGTAATTTATTACAGGTAATCCTTGATTTACAACCATTCATTTACTGACTGTTCAAAGTTACAGTGCCTGACTTATGACCAGTTTTCATACTTATGGTTACATGGTCAAAATTTAGGCTTTTCGCAACAGGCATGTATTTATTTATGGAGTGCTAACTACAGTTGATATTTTCAGTTATGTGTGATCTATATGTGCTCTGGAACAGCAGCCCCCAACCTTTTGGGCACCAAGGACTGGTTCCGTGGAGAGAGGGTTTTCCATGGACTGGAGGAGGCGTGGTTTCGTGTGCTGCCTGCAGCCTGCAGATGAGGCTTCTCTTTTTGTGCAGCCTGGTTTCTGGCATGCGGCCAGATGCTGGTCTGTGGACGGGGGTTGGGGACCCCTACTTTGGAACATCCTCAGGATTACAGGGGGCCAAATTTGTCTTCAATTGAGCACCAAACACACATGCTTTATTTTCTTCTTTCAGTTAGTGATTTTTAAACATTTTGCAGTTGAGGAACTTTTTTTCAGACTGCTACTTTTGCTTGATTGCTTTATTTGTTTCGGAATTTTCTGATTTTAATGTGTTGTAACATGCTCCTCAAAACCACAGGCATTTTCAAAATAAAACTTTAATAAAATAAAGTATTTTATAGACTATATGATGCTATGTGTCTAATGAAATTTTTTTTAATAAATATTTTTTGTTGAGTTTTATAAAGGTAATAAGGGGATAGGGTCAAAAAGGGTAAGACAACGGGAAACATACAAAAAGGTTAGACCAGGGAAAAGGGATAACACAAAAGTGGGATTAATCCCACAAAATAACATCGCTTCAGCAAGTCTACCAATCCGGGTTTACATATTAAATCTTAATAATTAACTCTATTATTAAACAACTTTCCATATAATCATGTAAATAACAAATTAGTCAATAAATCTCATTATGTCTAATGAATTTTTAATACTTGTTTCAGTGCCTACATTTTTTAAATTATGTGTACTTCTATAGTTTTTAATCATTCTAAATATTTTATTGATGTGATTGTGATTTCTTTGATTGTTTTAAGCAATTAAAGACATCCAAAGCTATTGAGAATAAGGCAATAGATAAGATGTTGTTGTGATGGTTGTTGTTATACCATGTGTGCTTTGATGTCAAGTTTTAAAGATTCAGGTTTAGTTAAGTGAAGCACTTTCATTATAAGAACAATGACGGATAATTAAAACAATGCCTGTCTTAGACTTTTTAATTTCTGCAAAAGCAAAGAAACCACTTTCATTTACAATCCCAGTACCCTTAATAAGAGATGTGTATTTTGCTTCTCTTACTTTATTTCTACCTGATGTAGGTTCTGTTGCCTTAATTGCCTTTTGATCTTTAAGAACAATATTTCCTTTCTAAGAAACTTCTATTTGTCTAGTTTATCTTTTTGGAAAAAGATCTGTTTCCCTCTTATGTATGCATACTTGCATTTATTAAATGTGCATAATTTATTTTCTATTTTGATGAGTTATTCAGGTTATTGCTTATGTTCTTAGAGGAACACTCTTACTATTTATAAAAATAAGATCAATGTAGAAGTATGAAGGATATGTGAATTAATTTACTAAAATGTCATATAATAATAAACAGAAGCTGCAGAAACTGGCAGCTAAAAATAAATATGTCTATCTCAGCTGGTAGTATAAATAGATCCTTGTGTGCTTTATTTCTTTTTTTTTAAAAAAACTAAAATTAACAATGGAGTTCTTGAAGTTTGAATAGTAAAATAATTATTTGTTCAATTTTGAGGACCTTTGTTGTTCTGAACATTTTTAAATGGCCAATTTTGTGTCCTTCCCTAGAAAGATTATAGTGGAACAGAGTGACTTCTCTGCTGATAGCTATTGTTTTGTAAAAGAGAAAAAAACACTGATGAAATCTTATTATGTTATTGGACATCAGCATCACTTGGTTTCCACAAAGGCAGAACACTCTTTAACATTTCTTTCAGCTGAATTTTAGAAATATGTTTCCAAAGGTTTTGGAAGAAAAGCTTATAGGCTTACTGTGAACAGATTGGGTTCTCTGTTGCTTCCCTTTTGCAAAGTATCTGAATGGGTAGATAAGTAGAGAAAGACTTAATAGACTAGGGTGCATTATGGTCCCATTTCTATCAGGCATATCTCATATCAAGAAGGCTACCATGTTGAAGTTTAAGTGATCTCCCAGAAATTTTGCTTTAGATACTTCCTGGTTAAAGTCTTGATCAAATTCCTATCTTGATCAAATTTGCAAGCAGAATTCTGCAGCAACTTTAATTTTTCTAAACGAGGTTTTCACTTTTTTTCTGGGGCAAACTAAAACTCCTACAGTACATTTTTAGGAATCTCTAGAATTAATGCAAGGGGTTTTAAAGGAAGCAGCTATTCCATATCCTATATACAAAAGTCAGCCTGCACAAAGATTGGTACTTTATTTGAAATAATTTATACTTTTCATTCAAGGCAATAAAACTAATTGGGCATAATGTAATCCCAAAATTAGTATTTTGGGGTTCCCTCCATGTTTTTGGGTTTCCATTGTTTATTTCAATGGATAAAAAACTATATCACTGATGCAGTATAAATGTAGGCACATTTTACCTCCAGGCCTCTCTGATCTGATTATATCTTTGGAACAGGATAGGAATACAGGATAGGTTCAAAATAACTAATCTGATCCTAATTCCTCACGTTGTGCTGAAACTGCTTGTATAACTTTAATGTTGTTATGCTATGCCTTGGCCCTTTGCTTTACATCATTTAGCAGACTGTCTTTAAAATATGTCAGAACTAATTACGTTGACAAAATTAGCTGAAGTGCTTGAGGAGTAATTTCTTTTATTGCTGTTGAATAATGCTGTTGTTTTGGGTGCTGTGTAAGGTAGAGGTTAATCTAGTATCTGTCTGCAGGGAGTTGGTGTGATTTCAGTGGTCTTGGTGGGAGTGGGTCTTAAGTGGATGGCTCATTTCTTTCAACATTCCAGCTACCTAAGGGTCTTAGTGGGGCTGATGATAATCCTCCAGGAAAAAACAGCAAGACTAATCCTTTCATGAGTGGCACTGCCTATTAAACATTAGTAGTAACTCTGATATGAGATCACCACAGATAGTCATGCTGGGTTCTTGACATTTCCTGTTGGATTTCCTGCAGAAATTTGATTACCCGGCTAGATAACATCATGGGAAACAGGCATGGGAGATGATACACAGATTGATATATGGCGATGTTACCTAGCTGGGTAATAAAATATCTTTAACAACAATCAAGTTCAGGTAATAGTAAGAGCCCAGCGACATATATTCTTGACTTTGAGTTATAGATCTATGTTGGAGTTACAAAATATTTTTTTCAATGTCATTACTAATTTTTTTTAAAATATCATGAATATGTATGAATGATGGTTGGATTATTTGTACTTCAGTCTTGAATCAAAAAGGCTCTGACAGTAGCTTATAAATACAATATTTTCCTTTGCAATCTGAAAGAAAAATATACAAGAGATGAAATGATGAGAGGAGAGGATTAAAAAAGGTAAGCACAGCAACTACATTCTGCTGTTTCTACAGTGACCAGTTGGTGAGAGTTAAAATAAGGGTAGAGGCAAGTGCTTCTTTTCCTTCTGCCCTCCAGCATCATGACTGGTAAGCATTGCTACTACACACTTTCCCTTAAGTGCTCCTTTTGGCTAATATATCTCCCCCCCCCCTTTTTTTTTTTTTTGCAAAGAGATAATTCCTCTTCCCTGCAAAATGATTTCAGCTTCAGATGTTTCTTTCCTATATCCTTGGCTAAACATTCTGCCAGAAATGGCATTCTGACAAGCTGACACCTAATCCTTATTGAATTTTTGCAGGATGATGAGAATGAAATGCTGGACATGGCATAAACATCACAGAGCTTTTCGATGTAGCTTTTCAATCTGAGTGCATCTCTCTTTCTTTGACAGGAAATTGAATTTTCCCTCAATTCCAACATTCTGTAAAATCATTATAGGTGTTATTGAAAAATCACACACCCTGGATATTCTCCTCTATTTTAAAAAAAGACAAACCAGGAGCTAGCTTTCTTTGCAGAGGAAACATCTTTTCATGTGCTTTATTTGGATGAAGTAATGGGGTTTGAAAGATAATATGGTTTGTTTATTAAATTAGTCCCTGACTGTAATCAGGCTTCATATTGGCTGTTCTGAAAACATAACTTACACTTTTAGACACCTAGTTCTGGGGATTCTAGAAGACAGTGACAGGATAGCTGATTGTACTGTTAC